CACAGGTAACCCTTTGATTACCCCTAGATGTTAACTCCTTCTCAGCCAGTGTCATTAGTACAGTGTTATACAGTGATCACTTTCCTTACTAGTATAAAAATAAATAAATAAATGTTCCAGTATATATACAATAATTTGTAGACCTTATAACTTTCACACAAACCAATTAATATTCCTCTATTGGGTTTTTTTTTTTTTCCCAAATACATATAACAGAATGCATTTTGGACTAAATTTATGAAGAAATTTGATTTTTACATTTTTGTTATTGGATATGTTTTATAGCAGACATATGTTTTATAGTAGACATTAAAAAATATTGTTTTATTTTTCAAAATGAAAAATAAAAAACCCAGTGATGATCAAATACCATCAAAAGAAAGCGCTATTTGTGTTTTAAAAAATGTTATATATTTAATTTGGGTACAGCGTTGCATGACTGTGCAACTGCCAGTTAAAGTAGTGCAGTGATGGATAGCAAGAATGGCCCGGTCATGAAAGGGTAAAATCTTCCGGAGCTTAAGTGGTTAAAATAAAGGGCTCAAGGAAATGTTCCAATATTCAATCAATGTCTCTCAATTTAGTATAAAATAAATGTTTTCTCATGGGATCCCCATCAGATGGATAGACCTTTCATAAAAATGGGTCCAATAAAGCTTGCAAAATCAAATGTGGCAATGTGTCCAGTTTTAATTTCATCTGCTTTTTCTCTTCTTTGTATTCTCACCACATTTCATGTGTCATAAACAATTACAAAAAAAAATGGGTCAGTTAATATGGTTGCATGTAATGTCCTCTCTACTTCCCAAAATGCAATTACACAGACTAGAAAAGTAACCCCCTGTGACTTTAAAAGCAGAATAAAAAAAGTACCATCTAAAAGACAAATGTAAACCTGTTTTGTTTTTATAAAACAGACCCATGGGTATAAAAAATCATACCAATATTGCATCCAATTAGTAACATACATGCAATCTAATGACAGTAAATTGTACATATACTCTATTAGAGAGATACACCAGAAGAACTGCCAATGTTTTGTAATGTAGCTTGGTCAGTTGTGTAATCTTCTGTAATAATTCCTTCTTCAGGGAAAAAGGTGGGTATAGCAATTCTACAATGTAATATACAAAAATCAATAATCAACACAAAATCAATAATATACCAAGAATAGTCAAAAATACTTCATAGAATTACCTATTATAAGTAGTGCCCATGAAAGAAAGTTTAAAAAGGACCATAGTGTAGTACTAAAACATTAAAAACATGTAGTTCCCCATATTAAGCTCACATCAGTATAATGATTTGTGCATGTATATAGAGCCTCTTTCACAATGGTCGCACACCATGTACTCTTCCAGGGTCAGTCTGATGTCCCTTCCTGACCAGTTTCCTCCAATGGACTTTTACATGCTCTATGCATGCACACAGCAGATGGCTAGTAGTTCTCAATGAACTGAAAGCACTGGCGGTCATGGATCTTCCTGGACTTCAGTAACTACGTACCTGTACAGGAGGTACAGGCAGATAGCTGTACTGACAGAGTGCAGGCGCTTGATTTTGCAGCTGTGGTCTGCTGATCATGGGTGCAATGCTCTGCAGGCTCCTAAGAAAGAACTAATAAATTAAACAAAAAAAACTGTGTAGCACTGCCTCCTTAGGGGTTGCTAATGAATTTGGTTCCCCCTATAGTCCTGGACAGCCAGGCAATCTACATTCTCCACACAAGCTTGCGATCGGAGTCAAAAATCAGTCCTTGAGTATTTGTTTTGTTGTTTATTGAGCGGATAGGGTTAGGGGGGTATAGGATGTCCAAGGGAGCCAATAACCGAGGACCAACTTCCTTGAACTATCACAAGCTTCTCTTCTGCAACACAGTCTCTATTGGAGAGCTAGCCAGTGTCTTCTTGATGTACCACCCCAGACCCTAGATGAAACTCTCCTCTTCACCCAGAAATCTGGAGGTTTTCCTGAGCAGGGGATCTGGCTCATGTTACTTTAAAAGGGTAAACAGTCACTAGTAGGAGGCTAATCTGGTTTCCCATCAGAGTGCTCCTTTCCTTACCCACGCAGGGGGTGCAGGTGTACTCATTCAAATCCTCTTCTATACTTCTTATGGGTTGGCTGCTGCAACCAGGCCTATCAGCTGGGCTGCTCCTTCCCTGTCATACAGGTGGTCCTCGCTCAGAGGGCCAGTGAGCTCCAAGTTTTCCTCCTCTCCAGCTCCAGGCTCACAGGAAGGCCCCAATCCACTAGGCTTCCTGGCTGCCTTCTTCCTCCAGCTTCACATATTCCTCTAACTCTGCACACTTCTCCACCACACACTCCTGAAACTGAGCAGGCTCCAACACTTTTAAGGGAGTCCCAGCCCCTTGCCTTGCTTTTTGTTGGGAATTGGCTGAGGTCCCTCAAGAGTGCAGCCAGCCACTCCTCAGATCCATCCACTGCCTCCAAGACCTTTCTCCAAAAGTCTTAGCGCAGAGAGAAATTCCAGAGGGGCTGACCTGCAGAGCCTCTCAGCCCTGACCACAATTTCACCCCTCTGGCTATTACACCTGACCTGCTAATAGCTCCTGTCTAACCATTAGGATCTAGCTCCCCCTAGACTAGGAGGGTGCTACAACTGCATTTATTATTATTATTTTTTTGTGAATCCTTTAATTCTGTTACATAGTCCAGGTCAACAGGTCCAGATTTTCTGTTTAAAGCACCTGCTAAGAGGGTGATACAAATGAGGAATCCTCATGTGAGGATGTGTGCTCTGAGATATTCCTTATCATAATCTAAATCCCAATTGTAGCATTCTGAGAATGAGTCTTACACAATTCCAATATAGTCATTTGAGAATATATTTCTATATTTCTTTTCATTGGCGTAAGGCCAATGTGGTACCAATATTTAAAAAGGGGTCAAAATCTTTACAAAGTAATTATAGACCTGTTAGTTAAACTCTCCAGTATTTTCCCAACTATAGAAGTTAAATAAAAGACCACATAGATGAGCTTACAGATGCTGGAAAAAAATATTTTAAGCAACAGACAGCAGGGATTCATGAAAGACAGAAGTTGTCAATCAAATATGATTTCTTTTTATGAGGAGGTGAGCAAAACCTTGGACAGAGGGGTGGAGGTGGATGTGGCATAGTTGGATTTTGCAAAAGCATTTGACACAGTTCCCCACACATGGCTAATATGTAAGGTAAAGTCTACAGGCTTAGAAAAATCCATATGTAAATGGATAGAAAACTGGCTAAAAGATCGTATTCAAAGAGTAGTGGTTAATGATTCATACTCTGCATGATCAAGGGTTGTCAGTGGTGCACCCCAAGGTTCAGTGTTAGGACCAATACTTTTTAATATATTTATAAACGATATAGGGTCTGGGATTAAAAATCCCATTTCAGTCTTTGCAGATGACACCAAGCTGTGCAGTGGAATACCATCCTTACATGATGTCTCCAACTTACAAGTCAACCTCAATGCACTGTTTAATTGGGCAACTATGTGGCAAATGAGGTTTAATGTTGATAAATGTAAGGTTATGCACTTGGGGGCTAAAAATATGCATGCATCATATATACTAGGGGGGTACGACTGGGGGAATCAATGGTGGAGAAGGATCTGGGAGTTCTGGTAGATCACAAGCTTAATAATGGCATGCAATGCCAAGCTGGGGTTTCTAAAGCGAGCAAAATTCTCTCTTGTATTAAAAGAGGTATAGACTCCAGAGAGAGATATAACATATTACCCCTGTACAAATAATTAGTAAAGCCTCATCTGAAATATGCAGTTCAGTTTTGGGCACCAATTCACAAAAAGAACATTGGGGAACTGGAGAAAGTACAGAGAAGGGCAACCAAACTGATAAGAGAAATGGAGGAGCTCTGCTATGAGGAAAGATTAGAGGAACTGAATTTATTCTCTCTTGAGAAGAGGAGATTAAGGGGGGATATGATCAACATGTATAAATATATCAGTGGTTCATATAGTGAACTCGGGGTAGAGCTATTCATCCTGAGGTCATCACAGAGGATAAGGGGGCACGTTTTACATGTGGAGGAAAATACATTTTTACCTCCAAACACAGAAAGGTTTCTTCAGTGAGAGCTGTGAAAATGTGGAATAGACTGCCTCTCAGAGGATCAGGAAGGATTTTTTTCCCTGCAGGAGCAAATTGGATCATGCTTTGCTGGCTTTTTTTTGCCTTCCTCTGGATCAACTGTGGGTATAGGATTATAACTTTTTTTTTTTTTTTTAATGGTTGAACTGGATGGACTTTTGTCTTTTTTCAGCCAGACTAACTGTGTAACTATGTAACTATATCCTGCTGGTTGCTTTGTACATCCTGCTCCACCCTGTTCCATCATAGCTTAGTTTCAACCGTCCCTAGCCTCTTCTTATGCTTATGTGTGTATGCCAATGCACCCAGATCTTTTTGTGTTTGGCTAGCTTTAATGTTGCTTTTATCTAGGTGGAAAGTTTCTATTTTGTAATTTGTTCATGGTAAATAACAGTTATCACTTGTTTTCCAGTTTATAAAATTGATTAGGATGATTTTTCCTACTTTTTTAAAACTAGGACAATAGCCTGGCAAGGTATCTCCACCATTTATTTATTACTCGTGTTTCAGTCTGTTAGCCTTTTCCCTTTTTACACATTACTTAGACAGTACAACTTTCAAACCCTAATAAACTGGAAAGTAAAGAAAGTAGGGTTATGTGTATATAGGAGAATTAAAATGAAAATTATTTCTTCTCATTCTTATACTATGCAAATGAGGGCTAAAAGGTAATGGTAATGCTTGCAACATGTGCCATATCCATTGCACACAGTTGTTCCATATGTACCACATGACAAAGTCAAAGAATGTGAATGTAACGTAAATCAAAAAGTAAAATGCTGAGACTGAATGTAGAGACTGTTAAAGTCAGGTTCAGTTCTCTTTTATAGGTCCAAAAAATGAATTTATTCTACAGTAAGTTATGTGTATTTGTTGTGCAGATAACGACAAGGCCCTGATTGGATTCCTGGCATTTTTAATTACAATCACATCTCTGGCCCTAATCTTTGTCCTTATTAAAATCTACAAGCTACAAAAGAAATCATCAAGGTAATGTTTGGTATTATTGTGTCATTCTCTGTCCACACATCATGATCTTTTTGTTATGTTAAATCTAAACTACCTACAACCCTATCTATTGGAAGAAACCAAAGGAACTCTAGTAATCATTAAAAACTATGCACATTTCCCTGGGCGTGCTGTAAATATGTAAAACAATAATAAATATGTGTTCTACCTATTGAAATCTGTAGGCCTCAATGTTTACATCAACTCCCCCAGCAAACCCAACAACAAGAATATTTATCTATTTTCATATGAGCCAATGCTTTTCACTTGGAACATAAAGAAAGGGAGTTATGTAAAATGTTGGCATCCCATCATTTCAAGAATGTGTGTTTTTCTTATGGTTGCTGCAGACCATACTTACTATACTTACAAGCCCAGCGTAGTGAGCAAAGCAAATATTCACTTCATTAGTAAAGCAAGAAACAAACTGTTATGAGTCAAGTAAGCCCCCAAAACAAAGTTTGTCCAGAGAGGGTTGTTGTATTTGTAGAATTGCAGACAAGAGGACATTTATAAATATATAAATACATAATATAAATGCTTTTTCTTCAAGTTCTTCTTTACACCAAGCCATATTCAGATTCTGTTTTGGAGAAGAACGAGGCTGGAGTAAAAGCGCCACTTTGGGAAGTGTAAAGGTGTAGAATGCCCTCATATAAACGGTAGTTTACAAGATGTTTAGAAATTTTACTTTAGAAAGCAATACCAAATGACACTCTATTTTGATAACTGCAATGGAAGTTCTGGAAATGTTGATATCTGTGTTTGTTTTATATTTTACAGCTATTTCAGTTTAGTTTGTTTCTGTTAATTGATATTGGCCTAAAAAAATTCTGTTTATTTCAGTTACAGTGAGGACATCATCCCTCTAACCAACCCAGGTAATCATGAATTTATATTGTAAAAATATACTAAACAGACATTTTACTACAGATAAAAACTGACACCAGGAATGGTGTGAACTAGTGCAAACTCTCCATTGATAAGACTAAATGGCAAAATGCAAAATCATTGATGAAAATGGGGATACAGTTTCATGACCTCAATAAGAAAATATCATTTTTACCAGGCAGGTTTAGAAACTAAGGCCAAGTGGAAACTGTGATGTCCCACAATAACATGTGATATTACAGATACTTTATCTGGCATGATTCTGACGGTGATTGATGTATATTCAGTGTAGAGTATTTGCCTTAATGCAAAGTGCTGGAAAAAAAATCTTAAGAACAAATCCAAAACCACCAGTGCCTCTTTAAAGCTCAAGTTTAATTCACTTACAAAGTTTAAATTCTTTAAAGTTTATTTATTTGCTTATATATATTTGGTTTTCCCCAGTTCCTCTACCTTCCAACATAGTATTGAAAATGTTAAATAAAACAATTCCATTTTCATTACATACCATATTTTTGACCCAGTTATGTTATGAATGTGTGTCTTTGCTTCTGTACTCTTCTCAAAAGCCCTCAGCTCTGATACAAGCAGAAAACTGGATCTTTTTCTTTATGGGTGGGTGTCATTCAAGAGGAGTGGGCATCCTAAACAGACTACATTTACATACAGACTTCCCTAGGTAATGCACACATGTCATTCTGAGACTCCATGATAGAAAAAAAAGATAGACAATGAATGGGTAGGCCAAGGACAGTAGGGCTGGGGAGGTAAGAGTAAGATGATGCTAGGCATTCCCAAGCCAGAAAATGAGGCAGGTTTTACTGACATTCTTCAGCTTCTAATGCACATTGTGGGAAGTTTTCACTGTACAGTGAAATCAGAGTAAGCAATTTCAGTACAGACTAGGTTTAGCTTTGCAAGTCTGGAGGCAGTGCTATAGTTCAACTTTAATAATCATTGAGGAAAGAAATCATTAAAAATGAATAATACCTTTTCAAAACACATGAATTAGTTTACAAAAAATCTTTACATAATAAAACAATCACCTGTTAATGGACATAATAAATTGTATTAATTTAGTTACATTATTTTTTTTAAATACTGGAGTCATGTTGTATTTTGTACAGCTGAATATTCTGGAATATCCTGTTATGTTAATCTCTAAATTCTTTGTTTTTGAAAAGATGATGAGAAGCAACTGCTGAACATTGAGCCTATTCCAGTGGAGCAACTTCTTGACACATACAAGAAGAAAAATGCAGATGAGGGACGGCTGTTTCTTGATGAATTTCAGGTAGGGTTCTCATAGCAGGTGCTTGCAAGCAAGAAGCAAAGAAAGACTGTTACTTGGCATGGATACATTTGGAGTGCCTAACCCATGTGTGTGTAGCACAAATGTTGCAAACAGTGTCAAATTAGTGAATCAAGAAAATTACATGTAATATTTGTATAGTTATTTGATAGCTGGTACTGTATTGCAGCGATTATGACTATGCACTGAGCAGATGTACACATCAAATGTAAAAAGGGTTTTAAGAGGGACTAATACTAATCATATTTTAGCGAACTTAGATGAACTGAACATGAAGCCAAAATTTGAGCAATGGATGATTGTCCAAAATCCTTAAAAAAAAAAGAAAAAAGGGGGATAATTCTCGGCCGAACAGTGACTGCAACCAACCAGCTGTTTGGCAGTACCCACTATATTCTGACAGCTGGCTCTGGTGACAGAGCCAGCTGTCAGAATACATTAGCCTCAGCAAGAAGAGTTCACTGCTTGACTGCAAACATAGTGCCCCGACTCTCCTGACTAATGGGTGCAGGCTTTCCAGCAGCCTGCTGTCTGTATTAAAAACATTGGAAGGAAGGCAGAGAGCAATTCTCCATTATAAATATTATAACAAGATCCACCTGCCCCTCCATCCACAATGCACATCACTCAATGAAAAGCTTAATCATAGAGAGTCTCAGTGAGACTCATCCACCTTCACTTGGAATAAGATGGGCTAAGCGCCTACTCATGTGAAAGCCTTATAACAAAAAATTTTATTTTCAGCCATTAGTAACATCCATTAAAAAATGCAAAAAATATATTAGTAGATTTATGGTGGATTACTGTGATATGTGTTAGCTGCCCCTTCAAATGGTGTAAATACACTCACCAATGAACTACAAATATAGAAAAGGTCTAGCACTTACATAAACCAAAAGTGATTAAATACCAATATCCAAAATAAACCAAACGCATATATTCAGTAAATCAGTTTTACATTATATTGCCAAATGTATTGGGATGCCTGGCTTTACATGCACATGAATTTGTATGGCATCCCAGTCGTAGTCTGTAGGGTTCAATATTGAGTTGGCCCACCCTTTGCAGCTATTACAGCTTCAACTCTTCTGGGAAGACTGTCCACAGAGTTTAGGTGTGTGTTTATGGGAATATTTGACCATTCTTCCAGAAGTGCATTTGTGAGGTCAGGCACTGATGTTGAACAAGAAGGCCTGGCTCGCAGCCTCTGCTCTAATTCATCCCAAAGATGTTCTATCGGGTTGAAGTCAGGACTCCATGCAGGCCGGTCAAGTTCCTCCACCCCCAAACTTGCTCATCCATATCTTTATGGACCTTGCTTTGTGCACAGTCATGTTGGAACAGGAAGGGCCATCCCTAAACTGTTCCCACAAAGTTGGGAGCCTGAAATTGTCAAAATGTCTTAGTATGCGGACGCCTTAAGAGTTCTCTTCACTGGGACTAAGGGGCCAAGCATAACCTCTGAAAAACAACCCCACACCATAATCCCCCCTCCACCAAACTTTACAACTTTAAACTTGGCACAATGCAGTCAGGAAGTACCATTCTCCTGGCAACTGCCAAACCCAGACACGTCCATCGGTTTGCCAGACAGAGAAGCGTGATTCGTGGTGGTGTGTTTTACACCACTGCATCTGATATGCAGGTGCTCAGCCATGGAAACCCATTCGATGAAGCTCTCTACGCACTGTTGTGCTAACCTGAAGGCCACACAAAGTTTGGAGGTCTTTAGCTATTGATTCTGCAGACAGTTGGTGACTTCTGTGCACTGTGTGCTTCAGCATGCGCTGACCTCGCTCTGTCATTTTACGTGGCCTACCACTTCATGGCTGAGTTGTTGATTTTCCCAGTTGCTTCCACTTTGTTATCCCACTAACAGTTGAGCATGGAATAATTAGTAGCCAGGAAATGTCACGGATGGACTTATTGCACTGGTGGCAACCTATCATGGCACGCTTGAATTCACTGAGCTCCTAAGAGCGAGCCATTCTTTCACAAATGTTTGTAGAAGTAGTCTGCATGCCTAGGTGCTTGATTGTATACCCCTGAATCCACGTAGTGGGATTTCACATTGTTTGGCTAGTTTTTTATTGCATTGGACCGCCCTACATGTAGCAAAGTAGCTCATGTGACATTTTGGCATGTTGCAGTTTTCACATTTTTTTACTGTGCGCTTTGCTGCATTGCCACTCGTTTTTTAAACATGGCAAAATATGTGTTTGCTTCTGCATTTGAGGTGCCGTTAATATTAGGAAATATAGGATTATAGAGAGTTTTTTCTTTCCTGCAAGAGGTATGGTAACCACTTGCCTACTGGGCACTTTTATCCCCTTCCTGCTTTTTTTGGTGGTATTTAATCACCACTGGGTGCTTTATTTTTTTTGCTAAACAAACAAACCAAAAACTTTTTTCTTAATTTCTATTATAAAATTTTGAAAACAGGTAATTTTTCACCTTCACTGATGTGCGTTAATGAGACTGCGCTTATGGGCACTGTTTGTCAGCACTGATGGGCACTAACAGGCAACACAGATGGGCACCGATAAGGCAGCACTGATAGGAAGCACTGATGGCCACTTATAGACTGCACTGATGAGGCAGCACTAGTGGGCATTAATGAGGAGGCACTGATGAGGCTGCACTGATATGCGGCACTGATAGGCTGCAATGAGGGGCACTGATAGGCAGCACCGATGGGCAATAATAGGCAGCACTGAAGGGCACTGACTGGCAGCACTGACTGATAGCACTGATAGGCAGCAATAATTGGCAGCACTGACTGGTGGCACTGATAGGTGGCATTGACTGGCAATGATGGGCATAGATTGGCAGCACTGACAGGCACAGATTGGCAGCACTGATGGGCACAGATTGGCAGCAAGGATGGGCACAGATGGTCACCTTTGGGGGTTTCACTGATAATCAGTGCCCTATCAGTGTAGGTGTGTACTTTTACAACTGCCAGTTATCAGTAGTACTTTCTTCACGCTGTGGCAGCGTGAGGAAAGTGCTGCCGATAACCTGCAAGTGTGTTTACATGGTGATCAGCTGTGATTGGACACAGCTGATCACGTGGTAAAAGGCCGCTGTGATACTGTGTCATGTGATCAGCTGTGTCCAAAGGACACAGCAGTTACAGAGAGTGCAGGGTACACACCACTGACGTCCTCCCAGAACTGGACAACCACGCTGTAGCCTTCATTTGCTATAGCGCGGTCAACAAGTTGTTAATAGTATATTGGTACATAAGAAGTTAGAAAGAAAAATTTAAATTTTGGAATATCCAATCGTTCAGTCAATGAACTAAATCATGTGTCTTTATTGGTTGTTATGTGTCAAAGGATTCATCTTCTGTGGTTACTGTTCTGAAGAGGCACTCTGGGATTGATTCACTAAAGGAGTATAGCAATTTAACTTTGCAAAGTGAGTTTTAACTTTTAATTGGAATTTTCGCTTAGCTTACTGAATGTGGTGAAAAGAATACCCAATTGCATACAAAAAAAAAATTTTTTGTTTTGTTTGCACATGATTGGGTGATTTAAGTTAGCAGAGCTCAACTGCATTCAGTAAGCCAAGGTAAATTCCCCAGGCACAACTCCCTTTGCTAAATGCACATCTTATACTTCTTTAGCAAAACCAATAGCGCTATTAGTTTAGTAGATTAACCCGTCTGTGGCTGGTGCTGCGGCCTCTCACCATCCTGATGACATTAGCATTGCAGGTCTATGCAGTGCCAGCATGGACCCATTGCCAGGGACCCATGCTGGAACAAGCATTGCACTAGGCATGGGCCAAAATAATAGGACAGTCCTTTGAATGTGGCATAATTTGGGTTAAAGTGTCACTAAACCCACAGCAGTGAAATCAGTCTGTATATACAGTAAAGCATGCTTGTTATACTCACTGTGCAACCTAAGGGGTTAATCCTCTGCATTGTGTAAAAAGGCTGTTTGATCTTGACTTCTCTGATCTTCCCCTTTTTTTACTGTCCCCAATGTATCTGCCATAGCACAGAGCAGCACAAGTCTGCACATGCTCTGTTTGGTGTGTACTGCTAGAGAGTTTTTTCTAGAAGGGTGCATGTGATCAGCACGGGGCCAATCAGCACTGTTCAGACAAAGGGGTCATGTGTCATGCAACCTCATAGGACAGCCAGAGGAGAATGAAAACTCCTACAAGATTAACCAGTGCTCGACCGCACACTGATAGAAGTCACAAGACTGCTATATCCTGCTGATGAGAAAAGGTATTTAGCAGTTTATAGTTACTAAAATAATTCAGTTTTTATGTTGTGTGTATTGTGGGAGACCAGATATAGTGAATGCAGTGTCCTGGGTTTAGTAACACTTTAAGCTTAAGTTTTTCTTGTTATACTTTGCTGTAACCTGGTAAGGGTCTGATGGTTTTAATGCGTATTTCCTCTGTGTTAACTATGTAGAAATATGGAGAACAGCACAAACATAACCATGAAATTTAGGGAAATATAGTTTTAATATAAAAAGAGATAGAAGAAGAGCTTTGTTAGAGAAATAAAGTTAGAATCGGATTGTATTCTATGACTGTTAAAACTTATTCCTGTCTTGAATTTTTTTTATGAATCTGCTGCAGTGATCTTCACTTTGACCTCTGCAATATTAATACAGCCATGTCTTAAAAATCCATTTCACCATACTTAAATAAAATATATGTTTTGTTTTTTTCAGAGTATCCCACGTGTTTTTAGCAAATTTCCCATTAAAGAAGCCAGAAAACCCTGCAATCAGGCTAAAAACCGTTATATTGATATTTTGCCTTGTACGTACAGTGTTCATTTATACAAAAAGTAATATAATGTTAAATCTTGAAAAGTGGGTCTCTTAAATCATTGAACTGTTGATATATAATGATATTATAGATGATGACAATCGAGTGGTCTTGTTTGAAACACATGGAGAGCCTGGGTCAGACTATATCAACGCCAGCTACATCAATGTAAGTATAAATGGAAAACTGAATTCAGCAAAGTAATATACCAACAATATTAGGCGCACTTGGAGGATTGGTGAAAACCCAATTTAATATATTGAGCCCCGCTTTAATCAATAAAACCAACTATAAGTGAACAACATCAATTTCTCTAGTAGCGTTCAATCTATCATGAAATCAAACCACCTCCACCCACCTGTGAAGTAAATGTGCAACTAAATAGTAGGCAATGTGCTTCATCAAAAGTCCATAAACTTTAACTTCTGGATCCATTGAGAGGTTCACACCACCATTGTGCTTTAGGTGAAACACACTCCCTTCTTACCTCTGCACTCACCGCTAATTATTGCCTCCTATTACTGATCGGCTCAATGCGCCCAAACAGTTTACTGGTCAGTGCACTGGGCAGCAGTCCCCGTTAAACTGGTCTTCAATTCCACTAGAATCTCAAGCATAGAGGACACAAAACACTCCTCATAGTGTTATCCAGTAGAAACAAATTTATTAAAAAGTTAAAAATACATTCACAGAGATAAAACAACTTACAGCTAATCAAATTCAGCTACATTCCGGCCAAAGCAGCAGTGACATACTGCATCTCACCGTATCACCAGGTTTTGCATTACATCCGTTGGTCACTCTGACGTCACTTACTATTGCTGTGATGTTTATGTCATGCCATGGTGTTGCACCCTTCTGACTTCATCTGAGGGTGTGACTAGACAGCCTTACTCTTTCAGTTTTATCTACTTCCTCCTCTGGCAGTCAACCCTTTAGTACCAAATATTCACAAATGGTGGTTTGAATAAGCATACATAATCTCAAACAGCAGCTATTACAGCCTACCATAGGTACTACATCTTCATTGCCAGGGTTATAAACAATGTGTAGATTGGAGCTAGCCGTGGGGTCCGAAATAATTTATTCCCTCTGCATATATCCATGGAGCTGTAATCTTGGTTAATTGATCAAAATAAATAAAAATAAAATAGTCCATAATAATTAAAAACATAATTAAATCCTAAATACTGCATCCTTAATACCAGGGTATAGAGAATCCATAGGATTACCCTAGACGTGGGGTCAGAGAGCAATAAATCTCTCTGCACCATCCCTCGGCACCCCAATCACAATTAATCTAGACAATTCATGATAACTACATAATATTTAATATAACAATTATATAACCTGCAGTATAAATATACAATCCAAAGAAATTGTACATTTTGTATAAATCACACAATTCCTCCAATATAAATACACTCTAAACATCACTTATAAAGCATGCTTGATCCTCTTATATGCTTGATCCTCTGCTACCATAAGCTGTTTGAGCGCATTGAGCCGCTCAGTAATGGGAGGCAATAATTAGTGGTGAGTGCAGTGGTAAGAGAGGACATTTCCATTGCCTACTATTTAGTTGAACATTTACTTCATAGGTGGGTGGAGGTGGTTTGATTTCTTCATAGATTAAGCGCTACTAGAGTAATTGATGTTGTTCATTATGCTTGCTTGTTTCTCTGGACATATGTAATTGACTTCCCTGTACATGTATATTCATATGTATATATACATACAAATTCATTAGCTATACTGAATAATACTCTTAACAGTATTGTCCTATATGTATGTGGGTCTCTAAATTAGCAATTTCTTTTGTGTAATATTCTTTCCGTTATAATACTAAACATTAATGCCATCTGTTGTTTTTTTTCAGGGATTTAAGGAACCAAGAAAATACATTGCTGCTCAAGGTATATTCCATGTTACTTACAGATCCCTAATTTTTACACAGTACAAAACATTTGACTCTATACTGCAATCTCTATGTATGCAAACTCCAAGAGAAATCTTTGACATTGTGCCTTGATAATACTTGAGAAATATTTTTCAGGCCCTAAGGAGGAAACCATGACTGATTTTTGGAGAATGATTTGGGAACAGAAGTCAACAATTATTGTGATGGTGACGCGTTGTGAGGAGGGCAATCGGGTATGTCAAAATTGGGAATTTCATTTTTAAGTATTATTTTTGTAACAATTATTATTAAATCTGTTGTCACTATATACGTAAAGTAAATGTGCATAGCCTTCTGTAATGATTAGCTCTAGGAAGATAATACCAATACCAATAAACAAAGTTCTGTGGTTATACACAATCATTCAATAGATTTTAAATGAAACTAGTGTAAATCCCTATATTTATCCTTATACCAATCTAATTTAATAACTTGCAAATCAACACGTATACTGTGAGAGGGATCACAAGCATTAGGTCAGTCTTTTTCAACCAGGGTACCCAGGCATCCTGGGGTGCTTTCTGGGTTCTTCAGGGGTGCCTTGGCAAAATGCCAAATTGTCAACAAGCTGGCAAGTGCAGCATTACAACCTTGGGCCATTGACCGATGAATTGGTTTATAAGGAGGACGTCAGGAGCCTCCATCTATGTCTGCCCCTCTCCATCAGCACTGAGGTCATTTAGCTGAGTGAGAGGGAAGAGAAATGGTGGAATACTAGTTTGTACTATTATACAAAGGTGTATTAGCTTTGTTAGAATAAATCAATTCCAGTGTCTTTGCATTGTAGAATAGGGTGCTTTGGAATAGTGCAGGATATTAACCACTATCCTACAGGGCACTTATACCCCCTTCCTACCCAGGCCAATTTCCAGCTTTCAGCGCTGTCGCACTTTGAATGACAATTGCGCGGTCAAACAACACTGTACCCATATGAAATTTTTATAATTTTTTTGTGACAGATAGAGCTTTATTTTGGTGGTATTTAATCACCTCTATAGTTTTTTATTTTTTCTTAAACAAACCAAAAACCACTGAAAATTTTGAAAAAAAAATGTTTTTTCTTAGTTTTTGTTATACAATTTTGTAAATAAGTGATTTTTCTCCTTTACTGATGTGCGCTAATGAGGCTGCACTGATGGGCACTGATAGGCTGCACTGATGGACACTGATAGGTGGCACTGGTAGGCACTGATGAGGAGGCACTGGTAGGTGGCACTGATGGGCATTGACAGGCATCACTGATGGGCACTGAAAGGCAGCACTGATACATGGCACTGATATATGGCACTGATAGGCAGCACTGATAGGTGACACTGACTGGCACTGTTAGGCGGCACTGGCTGGCACTGTTAGGCGGCACTGACTGGCACTGTTAGGCGGCACTGACAGGCACTGATTGGTGGCACTGATGCGCACTGATAGGCAGCACTTACTGGCACTGATAGGCGGCACTGACTGGCACTGATAGGTGGCGCTGATTGGCAGCACTGATAGGTGGCACTGATTGGCATTTATAGGTGGCACTGACTGGCACTGATGGGTGACACTGAAATGCAGCTCAGATGGGCACTGATATTTGGCATTGATGGGCACTGGTAGGCACTGATATGTGGCACTGATGAGCACTGACATAAGGCACTGATGGACACTGACAGGTGGCACTGCTGGGGCTACACTGATCATCAGGGCACACTGATCATCAGTGCCCTGATGATCAGTGTACATGTCCCCTCCGCAGAAAGCCGATTACCGGCTCTCCTCTCCTCTGTCAGCGAGACAGCTCGAGAGGAGAGAAATGCCGATAACTGGCATTTCCCTGTTTACATGTGATCAGCTGTGATTGGACACAGCCAATCACATGACCGAGCCGACATCTTTGGCTCTTTCCATGATCGGTGATCTGCTGTGTCCGAGGGACAAAGCGCACCGCCGATCGCCGCGCTGCACGCTCCCTGAGCCGCGCGTGTGCAGTGAGAATGGGAGGACGTCATATGACATCCTCCCAGAACAAGAGAAACCACCTTGCGCCCGTCATATTACTATATGGCGGGCAGAAGGTGGTTAAAGAATGCCTTGACTGAAAAGAGGTTGAGAAACATTGCATTAGGTGGCAGTCATGATCTGCTACAATGCACATGTGCTGATAGGTAAAACACTGAGTGCTGATTCACACATGTGTGGTGTGGATTGAAGCTCAGGTTTCACAGCTAATTGACACAGTAGCTGATCATCCGTTCAGATCATGTTTACATCAGGTTTAGGACAGGAATAGCTCAGGATTTTATCCTGTTCACACATGTCAGGTTTAGAAACGGTTCCCATAGAAGCCAATAGCCTGTAATCCTCACCTGAACCAGATCGCATTGCTCAAAATTCGGACATGACTCTTTTGTTAAACCGCACTGAATCCACACTGATCAGACACCATTGGAAGCAATGATGAATCACATGTTATGCAGATTGGATGCGGTTCAAACTGCATCCAATCCGCATGTATGTGAACAGGCACTGACAGTAGAAGAAAGTAGAATGAACAGAGGATTGATACAATCAGTGTCCTGTTGCTTGTTTAGTGTTCAGACAGCAGATTTAAGATGTGTCCTTGACCAAGCTAGTCTGCTGCTAGAGTAAAGACTCAGCTTGGACAAGTGATGACTTATTTGAGAGGTAAAGCAATTTCCGCATCTGTAGTTTAGCTGTGTATTCAGCTGCTTTTATGAACATCAGCTTAAAGTAGCCTAAAACGTTGGAATAATTCACAGCCTAAAATTTGTTGGTATCAGAAAACTAAAGAACTGTCTATGGGGTAACCAAGGTTATAACAGCCAACCTGCTCACAGCTCTTTCACTAGGAAAAGCTAATGAACATTGGTAAAGCAGATCTTTACCAGTCAAATTCTGTCCTTGTCATAGTGGTTGAGGAGCACCATTGAAGAAAACTCTTAGAAACTTTTATATAGATATTAGCCAAAGTGTTTTGGGGTTTAAACCCTTCAGTGAGGTTGAGCAAGTGCTGCGTTAGGTTTTTTAACAATCAGAACAACACTTAAGACTTTCCTTTAATGGTGCTGTTCACACACTGAGACAAACAATATATCCTGAAGGGACCAATATGCTTAGAATCCCACCACAGGTTGATTGAGAACAATACACAAAGATATTCACACAAGGTGTGCACTGCTAACTCAGTGCTCATCAAGTGTCCATAAAGCCATCTATCAAAACCCAAGGTAGAAGGTGGAAAATGGGATGAAAGGGTCCAGGAAACTCTTGCAGCTCTTCAAATAGATCTGGGATGGATCTTTTGTAATGTGATGTGTTTGCAGCCCATCCTCGGCATCACTGGTCTGAAAGCTGGTTCTCCTTACCTTGTGGCACTCCTAGCACTCACACTGCTGCATGCTATGCTCGTCTACCCCTGCCTGGTTACCTACTGTTGCTTGTTGTTCCTCCTTGGTTTCTGCATGCTGTTCACCAAAATGTTAGCATGTACAGTGCCTTGAAAAAGTATTCATACCCCTTGACATTTTCCACATGTTGTCAATTTACAACCAAAAACGGAAATGTATTTTATTAGGGATTTTATGTGATAGACCAACACAAAGTGACACATAATTGTGAAGTGGAAGAAAAATGATCAATGGTTTTCAAAACTTTTTACAAATAAATATCTGAAAATTGCAGTGTGCATTTGTATTCAGCCCCCTTTACTTTGATACCTCTGAATAAAATCTAGTGGAACCAACTGCCTTCAGAAGTCACCTAATTAGTAAACAGAGTCCACATGTGTGTAATTTAATCTAAGTATAACTACAGCTGTTCTGCAAAGCCTTCAGAGGTTTGTTAGAGAAAATTAGTGACCAAACAGCATCCTGAAGGCCAAGGAACACACCAGACAGGTCAGGGATAAAGTTGTGGAGATGTTTAAAGCAGGGTTGGGTTATTAAAAAATCTCCCAAGCTTTGAACATCTCACGGAGCACTGTTCAATCCATCATCCAAAAATGGAAAGAGTATGGCACACCTGCAAACCTACCAAGACATAGCCATCCACCTAAATTGACAGGCTGGGCAAGGAGAGCATTAATCAGAGAAGCAGCCAAGATGCCCATGGTAACTCTGGAGAAGCTGCAGAGATCCACAGTTCAGATGGGAGAATCTTACAGGACAAATATTAGTTGTGCACTCCAAAAATCTGTCCTTTATGGAAGAGTGCCAAGAAGAAAGTCATTGTTGAAAGAAAGCCATAAGCTGTTCTGTTTGTAGTTTGTGAGAAGCCATGTGGAGGACACAGCAAACATGTGGAAGAAGGTGCTCTGGTCAGCTGAGACCAAAATTTTACTTTTTGGCCTAAAAACAAAACGCTATGTGTGACAGAAAACTAAAACTGCACATCAAACTGAACAAACCATCCCCATCGTGAAATGTGATGTGGCAGCATCATGTTGTGGGGATGCTTTTCTTCAGCAGGGACAGGAAAGCTGGTCAGAGTTGATTGGAAGATGGATAGAGCCAAATACAGGGCAATTTTGGAAGAAAACCTGTTAGAGTCTGTAAAAGACTTGGGACTGTGGTTCACCTTCCAGCAGGACAATGACCCTAAACATACAGCCAGAGCTACAATGGAATGGTTTAGATCAAATCATATTCATGTGTTCCCTTTGTATTGCTTTTTTTTGTGTGAAATACCTGGTGTTCCTGCCAGCCCCCCTGATTTCCTATTTCAAACTAGCGCATCCATACCAGCATGGTCAGTTTACTCTTTTGCCTTCTACTTTGGAGCACAGCCTACCTGTACTCTAATGGTTAGAGTTGCTGATATGCCCACTGTACAGCTCTTCACTGGGAAGATCAGTGTGCTACTATTTCTCTAGCTCCTGCTGACACCCACCCCCCCTGCAGTCTCCACTGCCATCTTATGCAACTGAGAACAGAGGTTATAGGATCACTTATAAAAAAAGGAAAAAAAGAACATATTTATGTTTTTATATATGTTGTATATACACAAATGTTTTGCCTTACATTTTTATTTTGAACTAAATGGGTTGTTATACAGGGTAAGGGTTCACGTATACTTTAAATACACAGTTGAAATACATATATGGTAGCTGTCTGTCACTGTCGTTCAAATGTCTCCCTGTCTATTGTCAGGGTTACACTTACATTGCAATGACCATGGACGATGATATTTCTGTTAGAACAGGCATGAATAAAATACACTGCTCCATGTTATGTTTAAGATATACAGTACTGTCCTTGCCCCCAAGGAACATTCATGAAATATGACATGTTGAATTTCAGAATAAATGTGCTCAGTACTGGCCATCAGGTGATGGAGAAACTGAAGAGTATGGGGACATTGGGGTGAAACTCACAGACCAGAAATTCTTTCCTGATTACATCACCCGGAAGCTCCACGTCACTCATGTAAGTTTCTGTGGATATTCTAGTAATATTTCTTAGTGAATTTCCCAGAAAATCAGTTTATTTCATTTTATCTACCAAAGAGTTGTTCATTTTTTTTTGCAGTTTTGTAATTGTATGTTTAAAATGACCATGAAGTAGGTGTCATGTATTTATGTGAACTGCGGTCAAGTATGACTTGACACAGTGGCTACTCACCGCCATGTTATGTAACAAAAAGCTCAGTTCATTTAAAAATAAAATGTGTTATTATTCACTAATCTACAACAGCTAGTTGATATATCCATTATTTCTAACCTTGTAACTCTCTGTTGCTGCTAACAAACAGTTTTTATAGTTCAGAGAATTGTGCACACCTGTAGACAGATGTGACTTATACAGATAGGAGAGGGAATAGAGATCTGAGAGAAATGACACTCAATGCTTTGAATTGAGGCAAGTATGCAATACAGAAGGACATGCTTTGTTCATTTTTCATGTTAGAGACTTACAACCAATGTAAGAAACAATGCATGTTTTCCTGTTCTCGACACAAAACCAAATCTGATATGATATTGAGGTAGTTTTAAATATCAGTAACTAACAATTTTGCACTCCTACAATGTATTGTGGTATTCTAGGAAATTGGGGAGATGCTGCATAAGTTATAATGTGATAACTGATCTTTTTAATCATCTTTGTCTATCACTTAAGATTGATTCCACATTTTGGGATATTTTGATATTTCATGCAAAAAAACTCCCTTTGATAGCCCTGTAATTTCTTTCATATTTTTTTTCAATATTGTTTACATTCTCTTACCTTGCCCCACTGTGCAGAAACGAGAGAAAACAGGACGAGACATCACACACATCCAGTTTACAGTTTGGCCAGATCACGGTGTGCCTGATGATCCCAACCTACTGCTGAAATTGCGTCGGAGGGTGAATGCTTTAAGCAATTTTTTCAGCGGCCCAATAATTGTTCATTGCAGGTATTTTTTTATTGTTATACCCTTACAAACACATAATTGCATTTCTCCTTAAGAATAGTAAATGTATAAAATCAGTCATGCATTCTGAGGGGGGGACTTACTGTGTACTGATAACCAATACCAACTTTATAATTCAACTTCTAGGTTAGCTCTATTTTCCCCCAATTATTAGTCATTGCCGTGTTTAAGGACATTTATAGTGATTTTATAAGCATTTTTATTTTTTACTGTGGTTAGAACTGAAAAATACATATGTAAAAATGTTTTTATTTTTTGTAAATCAGTTAGATATGAATTATATCCAGCCAGCAGATGCAATTTCAACACCATTTCACATGTTTTCTACATTCTCCTTAGCTACTTTGTTGGAAAAGAAACTCTTTACATAGCTGCGAACCTCAAGCTGAAATTTGCAAAAACAAAATGAATCAGAGAAGCAGGGGAGGACTGACAACTCATGGGGCCCCTGGTCAATAGGGGATCATGGGGCCCCTGTGTCCTTGCCCAAACTCAAAAAAGCCTATGAAAAAGGTACCAGGGGCACCTCATGGGGCCCCCTACTGACCCTGGGCTCTCGGGCAGTGCCCGAATTTCCAAATGGTCAGTCCACCCCTGCAGAGAAGGGATTCATTCATCCTGTCTTCTCCTTGTCTACTGTGTTCAAATGAGCACACCTGGGGTTTCAGTTAGAGACATATCTGATGTATCTGATGGCAAACAGTTTCTGCTGAACTCTCTTTAGAAAACCAATAATGCTCCTTGAAATGTTTGTGAGGGTTGCAACCCGTATTACATGTTTGATTTTAAAACAAAGATGTTATATAGATTGTAAAACAACAGATTTAAAGCATCAGTACACTTTTTTGTAATAAATACCCCAGTCCCTTCTCCCTAGCTCTCTAAAATAATGTAATGGTACATACTTGGTTCTCAGTGGCATGGATGGCCTCCTGAAAAGTTTTCAACCTTTGCCTCCTCCACTACTAGCCCTGCCTGCTCAGTAACTCCCTGTATAGTTTAATAGAACCCTACTCCTAGCATCTCTTGTATAGGAGTAAGGTTCATACAGTATCATATTTTTAGTAAGCTACTGCAAAGGCACAACCAGTGCCCAAGGAAACTTAACTGAGGATGTAAACATTATGGAAAGCAATTAGACTCAAAACAATGTATACATTGTTCAACTGTTTTTTATTGTATATCTGATACTTCATACACAGATTGAAAATACGACCGGTTCATCAAGGACTTGACTGAACTTTAATCCATGTATTGGCAGGCTGGCTGTACATAAGCTGATCTATGGATCGATTTGTATACAACTAACCTGTTGGAAACTTTCTGTCAATCAGTACCACTGATCAGTGTATTTGACTGCAGGGAAGTTTCTCTTCTGTCAAAATAGAATGGCTCCTTGGAAAGGATTCCCCCATCCACCTTGAGTGTGTGGCTGGGGGAATCAAATCAGTTTCTTTTGCTCAACCCACTCGTTGAACGAAAAAAAAAAAATGACTCATGTATGGCCAGCCTAACAGAGTGAGGTATGCTAACATATATTCTATTGATTGCCTTGGTAGTGCTGGAGTTGGACGTACAGGAACCTATATAAGTATTGATGCCATGTTGGAAGGTCTGGAAACAGAGGGCAGAGTGGATGTTTATGGTTATGTGGTACAGTTGAGGCGTCAACGCTGTCTTATGGTCCAAGTTGAGGTAGGTATAGAAATAAGGTTAAATATCTAATAACATAAAACCTTGGTCTACTTCAGTTACAAGTCCTTTATGATTATGATGATATATGGAACAGAAAGTTTTAAAATTACTTTCTATATACACTTTTAATTATAATGTAGTATTCTGTAATGTATTGTGTTGTTCATAACATTAGTTAATACTTCAATAATAAATAATTATTTAAAAATACATTTTATTTGTGTAATAGAATTAGGAGCCCGTATCACAATTTCTGTATATGTGAAAATTTAGGCATTATGCACAAAACAAATTTGAAGACAAGGGAACACCGTTTCGATTCCCCTTTTCACCCCAGATCTCATTCCTATATTATAGCTACAAACAAGCACAAAGACACAAAGAAGGAGGCAATTATTTACAGTTACGCAAAGAGCGTTTTACACTGACAGTCAGAAATCAAAGGGGAAAAGGATAACTATATTTAGACTGCAATGTTCTGTAGATATTACAAACAGAAATATGAAGTATCTAACTACTTAAAACATAGAGGATAATATTACAATTGTAATAACCGTGGAGTTAAGAAGATTAGAGCAGCAGCAGAGGTAGTTCTAAGAGTGCATTCACACTTGGCATTTCCTGAATGAACTACAAAATGCTCAGGAAGTGTATGTTTTGGATTACGTTTCATAAATGTGCTTCAAACACACATCACACTTGCGGTGCCATTAATTGTTAATGGCACCCCAAGCACAGTTAGCCAATGCACATTTTATGTTGCCATTAATTGTTAATGGCACCCAAACACAGTCAATGCACATTTTTCTGTGCAGCAAACTCTCTACAAACGTGGAACACTTTACGCAAAAAAAGTTAGCAGGAATGCCTGCTCCTGCTACACGAAGTTGAATGGGACTGAAGAGTGGACAATTGGCAGACAAAAACAATGTATTGCAACCAGCTATGGTGTGGGAGGGGATCTCAAAAACAGCACTGTCAAAAGAGAGGAGCTGAAAAACTCCATAGTGTATTAGGCGTTATAGAATTAATTAAATAGAGTATAATGCACTCACAAACTAAGATATATAAACAGTTCATGCTGATAAGTCTAGGATGCAGCTAGCCTCTCCTAATTTTCCAACTCTGCCCAGGGAAATTCCATCTAAGACATCTGTGTAAAGGAGGTGTAGACCAGGAATAGGTATATACTGTACATCCTTAATCAGCAGCCTTCTTGAACTCTGGAGCCATAGTTCTGGAAGCCTGTTGCAGCCATGAGCTCGTTTTAAAGCCCCATAACGTATGATAGACATTTCTGACACACAAATACACAAACATTATTAATATTAAGTATGTACAGTACCTGTGATGTTGTAATATAACATTTTCATGTACATTGTGTTCGACAAAGCAGATTAAATGCATTACTATGAACATTTTCTATAAAGTTGTAAATGTAGTGCAATATTAGGTCTTACATGTAATGCTTTTTCTTGATTGTATATTTATAACAGTTCCAGTATATATTTATACACAAAGCTTTGGTGGAATACAATCAGTTTGGGGAAACAGAATTCAGTATGGCTGAACTACCACTAGTCCTCAATAACTTGAAGAAGAATGATCCTGCTTCTGAACCCTCTCAGCTAATGTGTGAATTTCAGGTATGTTGGCCCAACATTGTGTTTGTGCTGTTCTGTGGATGAAATTGAGTTCTCTTGCTTTAAACAATTACTCTCTTTAAAATGTGCTCTATACTAAAGTTGTCACGAATGTGTAAATGATGTAGGGAAATGTTTACTTTTTTTAAAATATGTGTTTATTGTATCATTGATTTAATGAAATATCACACAATATATGCAATTCAAAGAAAAATAAATCATATTATTATATATATTTAGATTGTAACAGTGACATATGTACACAGACTTGCAGTATACATATATGCACTGCTTGTAGTACTTAGTAGGAACAAAGCAAAAAGAAGGACCTTTCAGAATTTAGACTTCCAATATAATTATAATCTGTAAATACGGCCATACAATTTTTAAATATATCAGGCATGTTTTTGAGGGATTCAAGTGTATCTGTGGTGCTTAGTAACTGTTTTAATTGCATGCAGCTAATGAAGAGACATGTATTTATTCTTTTTAGGAATCTTAGGTGTACTGTCCATTATAATGTTATGGCATCTCAAGTTTCATTTATTGCAGAATATTCATGAACATTCATGACCATGACTCCATTAAAAAGTACATATAAAAGTTATTTAGGCACCATTTTCCTTTACTTACCTATGTATTGTACAAATTTAGATTTCAATATGTTTATTAATTTTCTATAAATAACAGTTACAAAAACGGAAGATAACGCCAGACCTCCCCAGAAAGGGAGTTTAATAGGTAAATATTTTCAGGTAGAAATGGTGTATCTATTTTCATTCTTTAGATTTTATATAAATATGTTTGCTTTACAAAATGTAGAATATCCAGAAAGCTGGAAAAAAAGCGGAGTAGTATAGGAAATTATATAGCTTTTTACAAATCCAAAACTGGAGCAAGCTTTCCAGGAAAGGGTACTAGGACAAAGGATGCAGCATGGTGTGCAGGAGGGGCTGGATGGATGGGCAACCGCAACAAACTACAGTGGTTCTGGCTGCATCTGTTGCCTTGTCCAGTTTGCTCTTGATCTCTGAGGCCCCAATGAAACACAATTCATGTGCAGGGACCATAGCAGCTGCATGGCCAGATCAGGTGGGAGTTACACCACTACCTAGGTAAATTTAAACCTTCACAAACACCACAGAACACAAAAGCTAAGTTAGCTCTCAGAACTATGGGAATAGCTTTAGTATCAGTATGATTTATGAGCATCCTAGGGGAGTGGGAGCAGTAAGCCCTGGTTAATGGAATGATTTGTTTCTATATTGTTTTTATTGTTGATTTTGTCGCAGCACAAAATTATTTAATTTGATTTATGGTTACTATTTGATATAAGAAAGATGTCAATACTATGAATAAATGGCTGCATGTCAATAAGCATTTGCAACAACATTCTGGTAATCATATATCTTATATTTTTATATATTCCAGAGATTACCATCATATAGAAACTGGAGACCGCAAAAGATAGGAAACCATCAAGATAACAAAGATAAGAATCGCTTCTCCTCAGTTGTTCCTTGTAAGTAATCCAGTAGTTCAATAAACATGTTTGGTTTCCCATACTATCTAGTTAAGGTATGTCACATTTAGTAAAAAAAAGGATGTACTCATTTATGCTGAGCACTATATAGTGCTCAGTATAAATGAGTACACCCCTTTTGAAAAGTAAGATTTGAATCAATATCTCAATGAACACAAGAACAATTTACAAAATGTTGACAAAACTGCGTTTTATAGAACATTTGTTTAGCTCGTTACATGAAAGTAAGTTAAATAATATAACTTAGATTACAAAATCTTCAGTTTTACTCATATTAGTTGATGCAAAAAATGTATACACCCCACAACAAAAACTACAACATCTAGTATTTTGTATGACCTCCATGATTTGTAAGGACAGCCTGAAGTTTTCTAGGCATGGAATGAACAAGTTGGAGACATTGCATCATCTATCTTTTTCCATTCTTCAAGAATGACCTCTGTTAGAGCCTGGAAGCTGGACGGAGAGTGATGCTGAACTTGTCTCTTCAATTGGGTTCAGATCAAGCGTCATACTTGGCCACTGAATCAGTGTTCTTCAGAAATGTAACAGTGGCCTTAGATGTGTGTTTTGGATCATTGTCATTATGGAATAGTACACGACGATGAAGGGGACGGAGTGATGGTAGCATCTCTCTTTCAATATATAGAAAAGTATATCTGTGAATTTATGATGTCATAATTAAAACGCAGCTCCCTGACACCAGCAGCAGTCATGCAGCCCCACAGAAGGACGTTGTCACCACCATGTTTCACTGTAGGCACCACGCATTTTTCTTTGTACTCCTCACCTGTGCGACAACATACAGTTTTGAAGCCATCAGTTCCAAAAACATTTATCTTGGTCTCATCACTCCAGAGTACAGAGTCCCAGAAGTCTTCTTTTTCAGCATGGGCCCTGGCACATTCTAGGCAGGCTTTTTAGTGCATGGGCTTTAGGAGAGGCTTCCTTCATAGATGACACCATGCATGCCATTCCTCTGCAGTGTACATCGAAATGTGCCACACAAAACAATCACCCCAGTTTGGCTTTCTACTTCTTTAGCTAACTGCAGTGAACTTGCATGGCGATTTTCTTCAAGCCTTCTCATCAGAAGGTGCTCCTTTCGAGATGTTAACTTCCATGGACAGCCTGGATGTCTCTGTGAGATGGTTGCAGTTCCATCTTTGTTAAATTTTTGTTTCACTTTTGCTGCAGTATTCTGACTGATGAGTAAAGCTTTGATGATCTACTGGTAGCCTTCACCTTTCTTATGTAAAGAAATTATTTTCTTTCTCAGGCCTTGTGACATTTCTTTTCCATGTGGTGCCATTTCTGACAGCATGAAATGGGAAAGAGGTTTCTTTGCTAAGTAACGCCCTTTTTTAATCAACTGTCTGCTGCGCACCTGTTTAATGAATAATTAGGCTCACCTGTAGCTGAATTCATGTTAATTAGAATTTTGTCTAAAATTTAGCTTTACTCCTTAGACTTTCATTGAGGTGTATTCATTTTTGCAGCATGGTCTTAAATTAATTTGCTAGGAAAAATACTTATTTGTGTGTGCAAATTAACAAATCTTGTTTGCAATCAATGGCCCGCATTTGTGGAAGTATTTTACAGCATAGTGTCCTATAGCAAATGTTGATTCTGAAAGAAGAGTAAAGGTTTTCTGACAAATCTGTTGGGGCATACTCATTTATGCTAAGCACCTATATATATATATGTAAGGCACTGCATAAATTGATGGCGCTATATAACTATCTGTAATAAATAAATATTTTTTTATTTTCTTCCACAAGGTAAAAACTCTAGACTTCTGCTTAGACTAATCTTAAAGTGACCTTTCCATTATTAAAAATTCATCTCTTCTCTTGCTTCCCAACTGCTGCAAGTATTGGACAGTTGGATGAGTCTCTAGCCTTTGTGGTTCCTCCCACAGACATGCACGTCATATAGAAGTGTATGAGCCAGGTATTCCAGCCCAGGATGATTGGACTATGTTCCACAGTTCTTCTCTATTTCTTGGTTTTGCCTCAGAAACTGCATTTTTGATGTCACCCCACAAGTTTTCTATTGGATTAAGATCCGGGGATTGGGCTGGCCACTCCATAACATCAATCTTACTTTCATCAGTCCACAAAATGTTGCGCTATTTCTCTTTAGGCCAGTCAATGTGCTCTTTGGCAAATTGTAACCTCTTCAGCACGTCTATTTTTCAACAGTGGGACTTTGCGGGGGCTTCTTGCAGATAGCTTGGCTTCACATAGGCGTCTTCTAATTGTAACAGCACTCACAGGTAACTTTAGACCTTCTTTGATCTTCCTGGAGCTGATTGTTGGCTGAGTCCTTGCCATTTTGGCTATTCTTCTATCCATTTGAATGGTAGTTTTTTGCTTTTTCCCACGTCTTTCAGGTTTTGGTTGCCATTTTAAAGCATTTGCGATCATTTTAGCTGAGCAGCCTATCATTTTCTGCACTTCTTTATATGTTTTCCCCTCTCCAATCAACCTTTTAATCAAGGTACGCTGTTCTTCTGAACAATGTCTGGAACGACCCATTTTGCTCGGAATTTCAGAGAGAAATCCACTGTAACCAGCATGTACAACATTTGCTGCCTTCCTTCCTTAAATAAGGGCAATAATTGCCACCTGTTTTTCAAAGAATGAATGACCTCCCTAATAGAACTCCACACTGCTATTATTTTGAACATGCCCCTTTCAATTAGTGATTCAATTACACAGAATCAGCAGCATGCATGTCATGACTGTTGGGTCTGTTGGATTTCTATTACTCTACTACACCTGCTAATAAATTAGTTGCCATGTAGAAATATCATTTCTACCAAAAACAGTGATTGATCAGGTTAGTGATGTCTGACTGCTATTATTTTGAGCACAACTGTACATGTACATCCTGTAGTGACATATGAGCTTGCAGGAAAAACCACTGCTTGCAGAGGGAGCGCAAGTATTCTACACATACAGAAGTGTAGAATACTTGCAGCTGCAGGTGAAGGGAGATCCAGCAGATTTTCTTTTACAGGTGAACAATTTTTTAAAGTGACGCTTTCACTACAGGATCACTTTAAAGCTTTTGCTACCAAGGTCATTGAAGAATTTACAGCTGGCCAGCTCAGTATGCCTTACTTCCTTGGATTTCCCTAATTCTGCAAGCTCATGGTGGCTTCAGCTCCGTGAAATCTTAGCAGAATATGGTCTTTTACAAACTCTGAAAGCTAAAAATGAAAAATTAAACAAAAAAGTGGAAAATCGGTGGCAACCTGAGATTAAAAGTGGGGGGCAGGCCCTGACAATGAAAGGGTTACAGCTGAATTCTGGAAATTACTACAAAAATCCCTTTGCATTAGGGTTCCCTTGCACTGCAAGGGTTAAATGCTATTTGAAGCAGGCCTCCCCCCCCTTCACTAAAAAAAAAAAAAATCAGATCAGCATACAGCTGTCCTGATTATCTCTTAACATTGATCATGATAGTAATAATAACAATGCGCAACAGGCAAAGGTGCTCCAAAGAAGAAGTTATGGCTTTTACCACTTGGCCTCCAGAAGGTTTTACCCTCTTCATGACCATAGCATTTTTTGCTATTCAGCACTGTGCTACTTTAATAATTACTTGCTCTTGTAACATTGTACCCAATGGAATTTCTATCATTTTTTCAAACAAATAGAGCTTTATTTTTGTGGTATTTGATCACCACTGGGTTTTTTATTTTTTATTATATAAAGTAAAAATTCTCCAATTTTAGAAAAATATACATTTTTGATTCTGTCATAACATTTTGCAAACAAATAATCATTCTTCATAAATTTAGGACAAAATATAGTCTGATACATTTCTTTGGCAAAAATAAAGTGCATAAACAGCAAAAATACATCAGTACATCAATACATATATGATCAGGTCATCAAATGAGTGTAACTTTCTAGCTGAAAAAGTGCTAAGTGCTAACAGTGTACTGTCTCTTTAACCACTTGCCTACAGGGCACTTATACCCCCTTCCTGCCCAGGCCAATTTTCAGCTTTCAGTGCTGTTGCATTTTGAATGCCAATTGCGCGGCCATGCAACACTGTACCCATATGACATTTTTAGAATTTTTTTTTTTAGACAGATAGACTTTCTTATGGTGGTATTTAACCACCTCTGGGTTTTTTATTATTTGCAAAACAAACCAAAAACAACTGAAAATTTTGAAAAAAAACCCACATTTTTTCTTGGTTTTTGTTATAAAATTTTGTAAATAAGTGATTTTTCTCCTTCACTGATGTGCGCTAATGAGGCTACAGTGATGGGCACTGATAGGCTGCACTGAGAGGCACTGATAGGTGGCACTGATGGGCACTGATGAGGAGGCACCAGTAGGTGGCACTGATGGGCATCGACAGGCATCACTGATGGGCACTGAAAGGCAGCACTCATATATGGCACTAATAGGCGGGCACTGATAGGCGGCACTGGCTGGCACTGATAGGCGGCACTGACTGGCACTGTTAGGTGGCACTGACTGGCACTGTTAGGCGTCATATGACGTCCTCCCAGAACGAGAGAAACCGCCTTGCGCCCGTCATTACCTTATATGGCGGGCGGGAGGCGGGGTTAAATGCAAAGATGCATACAATCACAATATACATATAATTATACATATAAAGTCTGGCATGCACAATGACATCACAGGTAAACTCTGTCACCACTTTCACATCAGTACTCGTCTTCAGGGTATGACTGCATTGTACTTGTGAGTACAATTGCTGATTAATAATCTATTTCAGTAAGGGGTGCCTCTATAGGTGGTGGGATACCTCACAAATGTTTCTGATAAAATTTATCACAGAATTTGTTGAGAAAGCCGATGAACTTTGGACTGTTTAGTCTTATTCTTAATCCTACTTTTTATTTTTTGTGTATGAATCACACCTTCCACATTAAGTATTATTTTTCTGGATTATTTATTGCACTATAGGCCAATATTGTATGCATATTTGCATTTAAAGAGACAGTACACTGATTAGGTTATGTTTATGACTTAAAAATGTGCACTGCTTTCCAGACTATTTTCCAGGTATTGAGTTTTCCAATATTGAAGCTCTTTTTCTTTTTACTTTTCTTTTCTCTTTTGATCGGGTAGGCACTAATTACAGATAGCAAATATCCCAAATCAGTGTATATTATTTAGTCTGTGTGAAAGTTACAGTGTCTATAATCTATGGTATATATATTTGAAAATTGATCATTCCTGATGTACTGACTACCTATCTCATTTCTTGAGGCCCTAAAATGCCAGGACATTACAAATCTCCATCAAATGACCCCTATTGGAAAGTAAATGTTCGAGAAATTTAGTAAGAGGCATGGAAAGTTTTTTAAAGCCGTAATTTTTTTTGTCACAATTTTTTGGAAAAATGAGGAAATAAAAGAAGATTTGTTTATTTTCCACATTTTTTTACATACTGTACCTAGTGCAATACAGTGTCATCATATGACTGGTGTGGTGGTGATCAAGAATACTGACTGGTGATAGTATGTAAAAAAATAAATAAATGTTTTTTTTAAAACATACTGTCATCAGAGTAGTTCAGTGTCACCATAAAGACATTGTGCTACTCTGGGAGTAGGGGGTGATTAGGGCTTTTTTTTTTTTTAACACTGTGATGATGATGTTGGCGATGATCACTGTTATAAGCAATCATTTTAACTGCTTACTAGTGTGATTCTGTGATTGGCTACAGCTATCATGCAGTACAAGGCCACTGCGAATGGCCTTGTACTATGTAATCTATCACAATAGTAAACAAGCTGACATGAGTGGCTGCCATTCATGATCGTTTTGTTTACATGTTATCATGTGAGCACTATGATTGGTCATAGCAATCACAATACCTCAGGCGCTCAATGCATAGGACACCACAGTCACAGGATCGCACACTGCTGCGTGCCCCTGGGGGCACACCAGTGTGCGTAAGCAGGTTGTGCCTACAGATACATCGCAGTGACGGCTCATGTAAACAATACATATCTCTCCCCTGTCAGCTCCTGCACATTGCGTTGTATTGCTCTTCATAGCAGAGGACTATAAAGCAATGTGCTTACACAGTAAAGCACAAACACAGCACACAGTTAACCCTTTGATCGCCCCAGATGTTAACCCCTCCCTGCCCAGTGTCATTAGTACAGTGTCAATGCTTTTTATTAGCACTGATCACTGTATTAGTGTCACTGGGGATGTCAGTGACAGTCAGTCAGTTCCCCCCCAGTGTCAGAATGCCTGCCGCAGTCCAGCTATAAGTCGCTAATCACTGCCATTACTTGTATAAAACTAAAATTCCAGTATCTATACCGCCATTTGTAGACACTATATATTTCACCTAAACCAATTAATTTACATGTATTGGGATTTTTGTTTAGCAAAGACATGTAGTAGTTTAGGACAAAATCAGATTTTTTTAATTTTTTTTACTGGACATGTTTAATAGCGAAATGTCAAAAATATTTTTTTTTTCTCAAACTTTTTCTTCTTTTTTTATAGAGCAAAAAATAAAAACGCAGAGGTGATCAAATACCACAGAAAGAAAGTTCTATTTGTGGAAAAAAAAGGACACAAATTTCATTTGGGTTCAGCGTTGCATGACCACGCAATTGTCAGTTTAATTAACGCAGCACCGTATCGCAAAAAATGGCCTAGTCAGGAAGGGGGGTAAATCCTCTGCAGAGCAAGTGGCTAATATGCACAGCATTATGTTTCCAGAAAACTGAACACTGCATGCCAACATCAAATGTTTGTGCTAAATGCAAAGCATAGCGTAAGGACTATAATAATGTAGAGCTGCCCCACAGCCAAGACCACTTGTTATCATTAGGGCTTGTATGACCACCAAACTTTATCAGTATATTCAAAGATAGAATGGCTTCTTGCTCTCTGTTATCTAAAATGCAAAAGAAGATGATCCAAAAAAAAGTAAATCAGCAGCAAAGTGTCAAGAAAATGCATTTTGTATTTTGGAAAGGCCAAGTTATGCTCCTTACTATAATCCTATTTAAACCTTTCTATATAGTGCTATATATGGTCACATTAAGAGGAAGTTCCACTGTGCTATGATGACCATTAAACATTAGTTTACAAAACACTAATTGAAAGCAGAACCACAAAAAGAAACATTAAATAAAAACATTAAGAAATACCTTTCCCAAGTTCTAAGAGCTTTCTATTTCCTGTCGCTGATGTCCCTGGGCCTCATAGCAGGATCTTACTATAATTCAGGTTCCCAACTCTCACAAGAAGGTTATCCAACACTGTGCAGTAGTGCATTCTTGTTGGATTTGGGATCCTCAGCTTTTTGCAGGATCCTGTGGGAAAACCCAATTACTTCACCATCACCTAGGAGAGCCTGTTGGGAAGCCAAAAGTAAGGTACATGTAGCCATTAGATTGGATTTCATGTGATTCAGCAATAGTATTTGATAATATGCATAGTATGCACCTGCTGTTCATATATAGCATTTTCATTTATTTCACAGATTCTAGATTTATGTTACATAAACATTATATAAAATGCTAACAGCACATTTACTACAGTTCTGTGTTTATTAGGCTGTTCTGTATAGGCTAGTAACTGTCTTCTTATCAACACAGATGAATTTAACAGTGTTCAGATCAAGACTGATGAAGAGCCAGAACAGGAAGTAACCGAGGATTCTGAAATGTCTTCGGAAGTTGACAGTGACAATGATGAGTCTCTATACATCAATGCCTCATATATAACCGTATGTTCATTTACATTTCTAGCTTGTCTGGAATAGGAAGCACAACGTTCAAATGTTGTTCAAAGTAACCTCTTTTAGAAGTTTTGGAAATGTCATTAGTTTCATTTGCATTCAGTAAATTTCACTGCCCAGTAGCAAAATCCACTAACTTTACTGCTCTGATTAGTGAAATATTTTATTACATCTTAACTGTGGAAATGCCAGATCATGTTTTCTGTATTTAATTCAGTAACAATTCTGTAAGATCATTGTTGATTTCCTTTCTTGTCAAATCTAAGTCTTCTTACTTGGGCTTGTAGTTTTCCTAAGTATTTAACAATTCATTGGAATTCAGTTTATAAATCTCTTTATTATACAAAGCAATTAACGTTTTAATTAGGGCATGCGGAGAAACATATTTTTACAGTCAATTACGTCCATCAACACCAATAAGATATAAAGCTAGTTACAGACCCCCATGCTTTAAGACAGTCAAGTCAGTGAGGAAAATTGTCTTGGTATCTATATTTGAAAAATTAGCCTCCTATTACAATAATAAGTATCAAATAATATATATTCTCACATAGTATTAGTCCTGTACTATCGCCATACAACATTATCTCCAATTTTGCCCATTTTCCCTCTCCAGCTCCCCCCCATCCCACTCCTCTCCCCTTCACTATTTTATTACCAAAAAGGGGAGTTTCCCAAATAAAAAAAAAAACAAAATGAAAAAAAGAGTACCTCATAACAGCCCATTTGGCAAGGTTAGCAGAATCATGTTCAGTCCCGTGGCACTATTTTCATAATCTGCTTATAAATAAATGTGAGTTGAAACAAAGTTTACTGGTATTATGTTGTATGTCCTATATTCTATTTTCATTAATTTATTTACTGTTATCAGCCACTCCCCTACTGTACAAGGAGAGGAATCTTTCCATTTTACTGCAATGCATGACTTGGTCACATTTATCAAATTATTACTAATGAGCATTTATATTTTCTCTTGGATAAAGAGCTAAAATGCAAAACACAAGCTGCTGGATTATTTGCTAAAGATAGGCCAGTGAGATTATGAATCAATTTACAAACCTATATCTCCAACAAGTTTCCCTATATCTCCAACAAGTGGGGTTTATTTCTGGGTACATCCAATGTAGTCTCACAGGGACCCTATACCATCGGGTGAGACTCTTATATTCAGAATCTAGAAATGTAGGCAATTGAGGAATTATGTGCAAAGTAAAGTATGTATGCACAGTGTTCATCTGTGAATTGCTGATTCAAGTCTCTTTCTTACTTCATAAGAAAGTGGGTGGACACAAGTATAGAGTACACAATAAAGAGACAGTGCTGAACTGGAGATTAATCTTTTCATAAGGTTTCATATACCGTCATTTTAGGGAGGTCAGAGTATTTGATGCATAAGGAAGTAACGAAATGTTTGCGCTGTAGAGCTTGCCAAAATGGCAACTGTGGGAAAATAATAGCTTGTATGTCAGATATTGATTTCCTACTTTCCTCTGACAAAAAGTCCTTTAACTTGGATATATGATTGTGGAAGAAGGGGTGAAAACCTGGTTCTTGTATCCCAGGTAAAAAATCAGGGTTTTCCACAACTGGCATCATAAGAGACTGCTTAGTTGAGGAAAGGGCAGTACCTTTTGTTGTTTGGATAACCTTTATTGTTGTTCCTATCAGTGGATAGTTTTTAGGTGTTGGGTAGCTGGTTGTGGGTAGAAGAAGATGAAAGAAAGAGCGCACAAACCTTGCGCATTACCTCAATAAATAGTGACTAATTTTATTATTAAGGAAATATACTCACAAAGTGATGGTATAACAGGCATAAGTAACCATAATCCAAACAGGGTTACAGGTAAATCCAAAAGGGGGGGGGGGGATGAAGGCTAACGCATTTCGAAGGGTGCTCCCTTCTTCATCAGAGCTGGGTTGAGCAGATAGAGACTTCCGTATGGCAGAGTTCCCATGGCAAGGAGATATTCAGCCACTGAGTGTCAGTATTACAGCAGTTCAGCCTGTTTAGTTTCAAATCTGGATCTTTGGTGACTGCTGGTTGTGGGTAGCTAAGGAAGTGTCTAGAGGGGAAGGGGTGAGAAATCCTGCTCAAGAGTCACCCAGATCTTTGTCAATGAATGTTTGCACCAATCCAGTACCCAGTGGCATTGCTATGGGGGTGCAGGGGGTGATACCAGGGCTGCCAAAAGGGGATACCACTGGGCCTCCTGGCGTACGGGGGCCTGGACAGCAGGGAGATCAGTGCGGCCGCATGGGAGGTCAATTACAGAACAATGTACCGTGTCTCTCCCTCCAGCAGCTGAAAGACTGTTTCTCCCCCTCTGCCTCCTGCTGGCTGTCATCTGCTGGAGGGAGAGACACAGACACAGTGCATCATTTTGTAATTGTCCTCATGTCCTGCGGCATTTACCCCCCTCTCTGTACTGCCCGCAGCGTGCCTGGGCCTCTGCTCATCCCCCTGCAGTGCTGCTTGCTTTTCTCTCCCGCCAGCTGCGGCGGGTACACAGGCGGATGGAGAGTGGGGGAAGGGTGAATATGGGTGAATATGTCATTTTCCGGCACCTTCCTTTTCTGAATTGGACACAGTAAGGATTTGCTACCAATCGCTCCTGTGTCCATTGATAACTGAGCAAAGTAAACTGTGTTTACTATGCTTCAGTTTATGAATGAACAGGAGCCTCTGTCTCCTGTTGATTCATCTTCAGTGCAACTGAGGCTACTAAGAAAGGAACTGAAGAATCTGTGTCCTCAATTCCTTTCTCTGTCTCCAAGGTGAGATGTCCGGGGTCTCTTTAGACCCCTGATATTTCATCCAAGCCCCTCCCTTCAACAGCATTGTTAAAAAAAATGTATAAAATCATTCTAAAAATTTAAAAAATAAATAGTAAAATATAATTTTTAAAAATTGGAAAAATAATTTTTAAAAAAATTGTAATTTATGTAATCTGGGGGATGAGGGCCCTGTCAGGCAGGCTGTACAAAAAATCCCAGTGAGGAGTGTCAAAGTGTTGTTGTGCATATTGTAACGGGGCTTTTTTTTGCATTGGCGCAGAAAAAGCTTATTTCTGACCAGGGGCGGACTGACCATTTGGAAATTCGGGCACTGCCCGAGGGCCTGGGGTCAATAGGGGGCCCCATGAGATGCCCCTGGTACCTTTTTCATAGGCTTTTTTGAGTTTGGGCAAGGACACAGGGGCCCCATGATCTCCTATTGCCCGGGGGCCCCATGAGTTGTCAGTTCGCCCCTGTTTCTGACAACTCGACCATGCAGCTCATTTTTTTTCAAGTATTGTTATATTATGCTCCTTTACAAATCCACACCATCTTTTTCCAGAGCAGCTGGTATTTCTCCTGAGGTTACCTGTGGGTTTTTATTTGTATCCCAAACAATTCTTGTGGTACTTGTGGCTGCAATCTTTCTTGGTTTACCTGACCTTGGTTTAGTATCAATAGATCCCAGAACTTTCCACTTCTTAATTGATTAAAAAGTGACTGACTGGCATATTCAAGGCTTTGGATATCTCTTTATATCCTTTTCCATCTTTATAAAGTTCCATTTCCTTGTTACGCAAGTCTTAAGACAGTTCTTTTCTGCTCCCAGTGGTTCAATATCTAGCCTGCTCAGTGCATCCACGTGAGAGCTAACAAACTCACTGACTATTGATACACAAACACTAATTGCAATTTAAAAGTGTACAGATGTGGGAAATTAACCTTTAATTGCCATTTTAACCCGTGTGTGTCACCTTGTGTGTCTGTACCAAGGCCAAACATTCCAGGGTATGTACACTTTTGATCAGGTCTATTTGGGTGATTTCTGTTATCATTATGATTTAAATAGGAGCCAAACAACTATGTGATAATAAAGGGCTTCATATGATTACTATCCTTAAATAAAAGACAGTTTTTTGGCATGATCAGTCATATTTCCAAAATGTCATGATTTCTGCCAGAGTATGAAAACTTTTGAGTATAAACTGTATAATGAGGATCTCTGGGATGCTGCATTTCAGGTAAAGCTATTATATTGCAAAAATGCTCAGAACAGGGAGAGAATAGTGCACAAAAGTGGACTTGGCTTTTTTGTCATTTATTTTGCTTTGCTGCAGGGATACTGGGGAACGCGAGAGATAATTGCTGCCCAAGCACCACTGAAAAATACTCTGTCCGAGTTCTGGCAAATGGTTTTCCAAAGGAAGACCAAGGTGATTGTTATGCTATCAGCACCTAACCAGGAGAACAATGTGAGTACTGCATCATTTTTATTTCATGCCACTTTTACTTTTTGGTACATTTTCAGTCCATTCCAATTGTCCCTTTTTTGAAGAAGTATATTTGTAAGTGTCTGCTCACTAAGCAGACTAATGCAGGCCATAGATGGGGAGAAAAAACGGCAGATTTTTCTTTTAAAAAACGAAAATTCGGTCGTTCAAGCGGCCGACGTTACCATCAATGGTAAAAAAAATCGGCCGATTTTCATCCCTTCTACAGCTGGCAAAAAGTGTCCCTGCAGAGAGCTCCGCTATTTCTGACAGTTCTCTGACAGTTCCTTCACATTTACAGCGGTTGAAACATTGTATCTATTTGTTTCCATTTAGGATACAGATGTTTTTATTTCGGAAACAAATAGATACAATGTTTCAACCGCTGTAAATGTCAAAGAACTGTCAGAGAACTGTCAGAAATAGCGGAGCTCTCTGCAGAGATACTTTTTGCTGGACTGGAATTCTTCTTATTTTCATCCTACTTCTTCTTCTTCTTCATCCTCATCCTCTTCTTCTTCATCATCCTCATCCTCTTCTTCTTCTTCATCCTCATCCTCTTCTTCTTCTTCTTCTTCATCCTCTTCTTCTTCTTCTTCTTCTTCTTCATCCTCATCCTCTTCTTCTTCTTCATCTTCTTCTTCATCCTCATCCTCTTCTTCTTCTTCTTCATCTTCTTCTTCTTCATCCTCATCCTCTTCTTCTTCTTCTTCTTCATCCTCATCCTCATTCTTCTTCATCATCCTCATCCTCATCCTCATCCTCATCCTCTTCTTCTTCTTCTTCTTCTTCATCCTCTTCTTCTTCATCATCCTCACCCTCTTCTTCTTCTTCTTCTCCTTCATCTTCTTCTTCTTCATCCTCATCCTCTTCTTCTTCTTCATCCTCATCCTCTTCTTCTTCTTCTTCATCCTCATCCCCTTCTTCTTCTTCTTCTTCTTCCTCTTCTTCATCCTCATCCTCTTCTTCTTCATCATCCTCTTCTTCTTCATCATCATCCTCATCCTCTTCTTCCTCTTCTTCTTCATCCTCATCTTCTTCTTCTTCATCCTCTTCTTCATCCTCATCCTCTTCTTCTTCATCCTCATCCTCTTCTTCTTCTTCATCCTCTTCTTCCTCTTCTTCTTCTTCATCCTCTTCTTCATCCTCTTCCTCTTCTTCTTTTTGTCTTCCTCTTGCAGGTCACTGCTCATGCGCAGATTTTTTATCGGTAAAAAATCGGCCGATTTGCCCACTAATTGCCGCGAAAATCGGCCGATCGGCAAAATCGGCCGATTTTTTTTCCAACTTTACCGAAAAACAAAAACGGCCAAAATACCGAAAAACGGCCGACCAAATCGCCCACTAACGATCCGAAAATCGGCCGATTTTATTTTCGGCCGACAAATCGGCCGATTTTCGACCCATCTATGGCCTGCATAAAGCTGGCCATACATTATACAATTATCTGCAGATTTTTGGTTTAGATTTACCAAAAACCATATAATAGGAGGACAAACCTAAACAACACTTTCAGTTGTATCCAATTAGGCAGGCCCTTGCACTACATAGTTGAAGGTAAATCTAAAGGAAATTGGGCAGAAAATCTGCAGATAATTGTATAATGTATGGCCAGCCTTACCTTGTTATATTTTAAAAAAGTATAATAAGAGTCAATGGAGGGGATTTACTAAAACTGGAGCACTCAGAATCTAGTGCAGCTGTGCATGGTAGCCAATCAGCTTCTAACTTCAGCTTGTTCAATTAAGTTTTGACAACAAAACCTGAAAGCTGACTGGTTTCTGTGTACAGCTGCAGCATATTGCGCACTTTCCGCTTTTAGTTAATCCCTCCCCCCTCCAATGTCTTTAATGTTTTATACCCTTGTCTCATCAGGAAAATAGCTGTGCTCCTTACTGGAAAGAGAAGAGCAAGACTTATGATAATCTTCAGGTGGAGCTAACCAGTGAAAAATCACATGGCAGCTATACTGAACGTTGTTTTGAGATCAGGCATGCTAAGGTAAGAAATTCCTGGCTGTTAACGTTTTATAAGAGTTTTAGGTGTTTTTCTTGAGACAACTATTATACACTATTTGAAAGAAAACAGCAGTTACTGACTCCAGCACGGAGTACTGATTATTTACAGTCTTTCAGTTCCCTTCTGTCCTAAATGTCACATTAATTTCTAACTCCCCTCCAACTGGTAAACACTTTAAAAGTTACATAGAGAGTTTGAGCCTCTATTCTAAAATGGTTTGATGCTAAATACTAATGTCATGAAGAGGATTGGCATAAGGGGATCAGAAAGGAATTTGTTTCCTTAGTGGAGAAAATTGGACCATGTTGTATAAGTTTTTTTTACCTTCCTCTGCAAAAACTATGGTTTTAGGATTCGAGGAAGCAGGTTTTTTATTTATTTTTTCATTTGTCATTTGCATGATTTCAATGGACATGTATCTTTTTTCAACCTGATTAACTATATAACTTTGAAACAACACCCTGCACTATTTAAAATGATTTAAATGATGAACACTATTGGCTTCATTTGGGATATTCCTAAGTCAAATATTAAATGTAGAGCTACTCTGACAGGAACTGCTGGTAATTGGGCCTATTTTCCTTTTTACAGCACTCACAGCCAGACACACAGTATTTTGCACACTGTTCTACAGGCTCAATAATCAGTCTAAGGGTTTTGTTTTTGGTGTATTATTGGCAACGATGAACTTGAATGGGGCTAGCAAGCATGAGATACTCCAAATCTGAAGAAAGGTGAACTTGAACAGGTTGAAGATCAGTAACTTTCTGGCTGGGCTTGTTCACTTCTTTACAAAAAGCCACAGACAAGACCTTGTACTCCTACAAGTGTACCTGTTCAATACCTGAATGGTATTGCACCCCTGCTTGGCTGGACTGGCACACTTCAGTCTGTACTTTACTTTAGCAACAAGTCCCATAGAATCTCTATGCAGCCTGTGAGCCTGTCTTCCTCTCAGAACTAAAGCACTAAACAATCACTTTTGCAGCACTGGGGTTTTGTACTCACTCAGCCATAGGATCATGTTACCTTTTGATATCCACTGGGCTTTTTACTTGTGAGGGAGACACAGACTCACTCGGCTTTCAGCACAACTTGGGCTCTCTCCAACAGCTTCCTTTCCAGCTCTCTCCTGAACCCCTGGATTCCTAGGATCTCTCTTTCTTCAGGTCTTCTGGGAAAACCTAGCTGAGACCCTCTTTTCTTCTTGCTGGCACCTTCCTTGGCTTCTGCTCAGGAGTGTAAGGAGTGCAAGTGAGAGTCTCCTCCTGATTGGGCCCTGGAATGCTTCACCTCAGCATGCTGCACACTACCCTTTGCTTCTCAGGCTCAGACTACTTAAGGGCTCTTCCCCCCACCTTCTGGACAACACCTCCTCAGGGATTGGAAGCCCCATAAATATTCAAGCTGCAGCTTCTGCTCTCCCGTCCACTATATTCTGGAAAACCCTAGATCATTCCAGAACATAGGGGAAAGTAGCAGAGCAGCAGCCAGTGAAACCTTGAGCAGACCTAAGCAATCAACCACTGCTCCTCTGTCTACATACACTATATTGCCGAAAGTATTGGGACACCCCTCCAAATCATTGGATTCAGGTGTTCCAATCACTTCCATGGCCACAGGTGTATAAAATAAAAAACCTAGGCATGCAGACTGCTTCTACAAACATTTGTGAAAGAATGGGTCGCACTCAGGAGCTCAGTGTATTCAAGCATGGTACCGTGATAGTTTTTCACCTGTGTAGTAAGTCCATCCATGAAATGTCCTTGCTACTAAATATTCCACAGTCAACTGTTAGTGGTATTATAACAAAGTGGAAGCAACTGGGAGCAACAGCAACTCAGCCACGAAATGGTAGGCCACGTAAAATGACAGAGCGGAGTCAGCGCATGCTGAAGCGCACAGTGCGCAGAAGTCGCCAATTGTCTGCAGAGTCAACAGCTAAAGACCTCCAAACTTCATGTGGCCTTCAGATTAGCACTACAACAGTGTGTAGAGAGCTTCAGGGAATGGGTTTCCATGGCCGAGCAGCTGCATGCAAGCCTTACATCACTAAGTGCAATGCAAAGCGTCGGATGCAGTGGCGTAAAGAACGCCACCACTGGACTCTAGAACAGTGGAGACATGTTCTCTGGAGTTACAAATAATGCTTCTCTGTCTGGCAATCCGATAGACGTGTCTGGTTGCCAGGAAGACAGTACTTGCCTGACTGCATTGTGCCAAGTGTAAAATTTGGTGGAGGGGGGATTATGGTATGGGGTTGTTTTTCAGCGGTTGGGCTTGGCACCTTAGTTCCAGTGAAGGGAACTCTTAAGGTGTAGGTATATCAAGACATTTTGGACAATTTCATGTTCCCAACTTTGTGGGAACAGTTTGGGGATGACCCCTTCCATTTCCAACATGACTTTACACCAGTGAACAAAGCAAGGTCCATAAAGACATGGATAAGCGAGTTTGGGGTGGAGGAACTTGTTCGGCCTGCACAGAGTCTTGACCTCAACCCAATAAAACACCTTTGGGATAAATTAGAGTGGAGACTATGAGCCAGGCCTTCTCATCCAACATCAGTACCTGACCTCACAAATGCGCTTCTGGAAGAATGGTCAAACATTCCCATAGACACACTCCTAAACCTTGTGGACAGCCAAAGCTGTTATAGCTGCAAATGGTGGGCCAATTCAATAATGACCCCTACAGACTAAGAGTGGGATGCCATTAAAGTTCATGTATGTGCATTCCAATACTTTTGGCAGTATAGTTAGGAGATAACTAAATTTACCTAATAAACACTAGCAAACTAAGACGGTGCTATATAAATGAAAACACTCACTGTCCCTGAAGCTCTTTATTTAAAAAAATTATAATAAGAAGAATATACCACTATGTCAACAAATAATGTTCCAGTGTATCCAAACATAATGGCTCACAATGTTAATGTCCTGCAGTGATCTTCTCCCAACAATCCTTTGACAGTAAAGCTTCGACGCTGTCATTCACAGAGAGCATATGCTGGTGTATTAGCAGTCAATTATTATTATTATTATACAGTATTTATATAGCACCAAAGGGTTTTGTTCAGTGCTATACAATAGCGCGGGGGGACAGAACATGAGACAATACAGTAACAATACAATACACGAGGGGTTCGAGGGCCCTGCTCTTTCGAGCTTACAATCTAGGAGGGAGGGGATAGTGGTACAGGAGGAAGTGGGTGTGGGGGATGGAGTGGTGGGAGGAGTGCAGGAGATCGGTTGTTAGGTGAGGGTGGGGTAGGCTTCTCTGAAGAGATGGGTTTTCAGGGTGCGCCTGAAGGTGAGAAGGGTAGGTGACAGTCTGATGGATTGGGGTAGGGAGTTCCAGAGGATGGGGGGAGTCCTGGAGAAGTCCTGGAATCGGGCGTGGGAGGAGGAGACCAGGGAGCTAGAGAGTAGGAAGTCCTGTGAGGAGCGAAGGGCATGGGTAGGGTGACACCTCCTATTCACTGCCAGTGGAGGGACTCCCCAGCCTGAAAGTGAATGTAAAAAAAGTGTCAGGGGTGCTGGCTGATGTCACTGAACAAACATGGCTACACCAGCAAGCATCCCCAGTGTTTATATTTCACTGAATGAGGGATGTGTTATTATTTGCTACCGGTAGCATGCTGGAGGCTGCTAGCATCCTAGCAAATACAGCCCTGAACTTGAAACTGTCATATATTAATGGTGATAGTATTGCCACCACTAATAAATGACTTCCTGCACATCTGGAGGTTCGCTGCATCACTCCAAACTCGAACCTCATCCCTACTCTTCATAATTATTACCCTCTTAATGGAAAACCTCTACTTCACTTGGGCTGGGTGTCAATGAGCATGCTAGCTGCTAACTTGCCACCTCACAGCACTAGCCATTAAAACAGAATATGCAGATACTGAATACTAGGTAACCACACATCAACATTTTAGTCTCTTGCGCTAGTAATAAGGACTATTACTAGGCTACACATTAGTTGTGCCTTAAGGCACAGTGACTTAGAGGGTAGAGCGCTAATCATTTCCAGATTGATTGTCAACCAGCATGGTCCCTGGCAACCACTCAACTTTGCAATGCACTTCAAAGGAGAATGGGTATATTTTATTTTGTCACAGCGCTTCTTTTCTTTATTTCCTAAACATTTTTAGACAGAGAACCTATCTACTTTTTGGAGAATCTATACCTGTGTCCCTATTTTAAAGTTGTTATGCAAAAACAGTATACAGTAAGCTACTGGAATTTTGAAATGACTCAGTCAGGTTTTAATTTGAATTTCAAAGAGTGGACAAACGATAAGCTTATGCATATAACATACTATATTCAAACAACTATGTTTATCTTTTCATTTCTCCATTGTTAGGTTATAAAAGTTATACTACTTTGCCACGAGTAACAATAATTATACATTATTACTTCTGTGATTTCAGAGGAAAGATATAAGAAAAGTGTCTCAGTTCCATTATGAACAGTGGGGGGAAGCTATTCCTGTAGAGACCAAGCAACTATTGGATGTGATTGACAAGATTAAGAAGAACATTCCAACTAAGAGACAGGAGGAACAGACTAGGCATGACAAATCTGTGCCGCTTATTGTTCATTGCAGGTGTGATGATTATTATGACGATGATGATGATGATGATGATAATGATGATAATAAAAATTATTGTTCTTATTATTACTTGAAAAAAATAGAGAGAGGGCCTCACATGCAAAACTAATAATATATTCAGTTTTATGAGAGTTATTTAGAAAATTTAATTGTGCTATTGTGTGTAAGTGTAAGACACTAGTGTAATTTGCTTCTATCTACATATACCCATACATCCTTTGGAAAAAAATGTTGGTGAAGAGAATCATGAAACAATAGCTGCCCTATACAGATGAGTTGTCAATCGCTGCTTCAAAACTAAAATGGTAGACAGCATGAAGCAAAGTGAGAGCTTTGCATTCGGTTAACGTGATATGAGACCTAAAAATGTTTTTTATCTTAATGCATTGCTTGCATTAAGGTAAAACATGTTTTAGGTTTCCTCTGCTCCCCCCCTTCCTGTGTGAAGCGGAAAGACAGGGGAGAAGAGATCAGCACTGTGCATGGCTGCATCTCTTCCCCCCTCGTGTCCTCTTGACACAGGGACTCAAACAGCAGCAGGAGCCATTGGCTCTTGCTGTTGTCAATCAAATATGGTGAAATGGAAGACGTGGGGCTATGTCCTGCTGTGTGTGTCTATAGAGCGCAGCTCCGTAGACACACAGATCAGGGGCAAGCACAAGCATGTGTCCCCATAGCAAATGGCTTGCTATGGGTACACACAAAAGAGAGGAGGAGATCGCAGACAGGGTACCCAAGAAGAGAAAGATCGGGGCAATACCATTGCACAGAGTGAGTGAGTATAACGTGTTTGTTAATTTTAATTAAGAAACCCGCCTTTATTAACACTTAAAGTAATGACAAAAAAAAATGTTTGCAGTAAAAAAAAGTCGTAAATATAGTATGTAGAGGTGTATTTGATTTTTGTTCCTGCTTATTTTTATAAAAGGTACTGACACTAATGTCTTCGCTTGATAAATCTTGCAATATGCCTAAACGTTAGGTCTTATGGGCATCTTACTCATTTTAAATTTACTATTGCTCTTTGCATTTATTGTCTGAAAACTCGCAGTCCCTTATGTAATAAGACAAAAGGCAATGTAAAAACTAATGGAATAGAGATAAAAAAAAAATATCAGTTTTTAGTATATGTAATTTTTAAGCCGCTCTTTTGATTTAACACACCCCTATTATACTGCTATTTTGATGGTGATATTAATATTCACGATTGCAGTTAACTGTGTCACTTGTCTGTCACTGGAGTATTAGGCCTCATGTACACTTTTTTCAAGCCTCTGAACACAGCTCTGTCTCAGCCAATGCGTCCAATGTGTAATAGAGTCATATTTTAGAGCAGTATTTAGGGTCAAAAAAATGCCCAACTCCTGCAAACAGGGAGAAATGTACTGGCATAATTAACACATAAATGCATGCATATGAATGCATAAATACACAGGTATGTGCATATTTTCAGGCTAGTAAGTAATTATAAGAAAATATGCACATCAGCAAGCTAAATGCTCAACAGACTGAGCATTTTTACTCTGGATTTTCTGCCAGCTCATGGCAGAGATTCAGTGTAAATGGGATCTAAAAAACAAAGACACCACTTTGGAGCTCAAGTGTAGTGGACTTATAACAAATACAGATGGTCATCCTCTAGCAGATACATTTACTGGCTTGGTAATTCATTTGAAGATTTGCTGTCCTTTTCAGATTGTGAGAATCCTATACTAAATGACAAAATGACAAAAAAGGTACACCAGCCCTGTATATTACCTATTAGGTACTCTTTATAAAAAAAAAAACAAAACACATACAGTATATTATATTCACGAATGAACTAAAAACAAAAGCTCATTAAGTCACTAGGACACCAGCCTCTAAATGGATTAAGATCATGTTAGGTTGACCTTGACCTGGACAACATGCCACAGCAGAAAGAGGAGCTGATGCATTTTGAGGCAGATGGCACTTCCTCGGAGCTAACCTGTCTGCCATTTTCTACCATTTAAATAATCCCACATATTGGTAGGTATCATAAGCCCCTCCTACTGTTTAGTATTAGGGAGGGATTAAGTTCACACAATACTGATGATTCAAATTAAATAAGATAAAATAAAATAACAACATGAAGTAGACCTTAGAGCTTAAGAGCAGCAGCCAATCAGTGCAATCAAATCCCATACATATATTAGTAGTAATAAACAATAAACCATAGCTTTGATAGTTATCTTGATACAACAAATATAGACCCAGTGATGTCGGGCAATGTAAGAGCAACATGGTACCTTTAAGAAACCTGCACTTACCCTTCCATGTATGATCAGTGATCAATTCTCCTAAGTGATTTATACGATTACAATGGCTATGCGCTGGGATGCATGTCAGCCGCTATGGGCTAGAACACACACGATACTGATGGGGTAAGCCCTAGCTCCATATACAGGGAACCCGCCCCTATGGATGGAACTGTGAGTGTGCTGAAGCACACAGGACCTCTGCGTGTATGTAGCTTAAATGAACATTATTATTATACAGGATTTATATAGCGCCAACAGTTTGTGCAGCGCTATACAAAATGAAGGTAGATATTACAGTTACAATACAATTTGGTACAAGAGGAAACAGAGGGCCCTGATCGTTAGAGCTTACAATCTAGGAGGAAGGGTTCAGTGATAAAAATGGTAATAGCTGTGGGGGATGAGCTGATGGAGGAAATAAATGGCAGTTTATAGGTAGGATAGGCTTCTTTAAAGAGAAAGGTTTTCAGGGATTGTCTAAAGGTGGATAGATTGGGGTAGGGAGTTCCATAGGATGGGAGAAGCTCAGGAGAAGTCCTGGAAGCAAGCATGGGAGGAGGTGACATGGGAACTAGAGATCAGAAGGTCTTGGGAGGATCGAAGAGAGCGGTTAGGTTGATATTTTGAGACCAGGTTGGTGATGTAGCTGGGGGCAGAGTTGTGGATGGCTTTGTAAATTGTTGTTAGTATTTAGAATTTTATTTGTTGGGAGAGTGGAAGCCAGTGGAGGGATTGGCAGAGAGGGGTAGCAGACAATGAACGCTTGGTAAGGTGGATGAGCCTGACAGCAGTATTTATGATGGACTGGAAGGGGGATAGCCTATGTAAAGGTAAGCCAATGAGGAGGGAGTTGCAGTAGTTGAGGCGAGAGATAACAAGGGAGTAAATTAAGAGCATTGGTTAAAAGGGGGCGTATTCTGGAGATGTTGCAGAGGTTGAGGTGGCATGATTTGGACAAGGATTGGATGTGGGCCTGAAAAGATAGTCCAGAATCCAGGGTTACCCCTAGCATGTAGGGATGGGTTGATAGTGGTGCTATTGATCCTGAACGAGAAATCAGGGGAAGAGGCACGTGGGGGAGGAAATATTATGAGGTCAGTTTTGGATAGATTGAGTTTTAGGAAATGGTGTGACATCCAGTCTGATATGTCTGTTAGTAAGTCGGTGATGCATGAGAAAACTGATGGGGTGAGCTGAGGAGTAGAGAGATAGATTTGTGTGTCATCAGCATAGAAATGGTATTGGAAACCATGGAAAGCTATCAGCTGCCCCAAGGAAGAAGTGTAGATCGAGAATAGGAGAGGCCTAAGGACAGAACCTTAGGGGACCCCGACAGTAAGAGGAACATTACTCCACTCCTGAGATTTCTCTTAACTCCTTCCCTTTTAGCCCCCAGGATAAGAAATTATGTTGGCTTGTCATCATTCTACAATGCTATAGGGCTTGTGGTAATTAAATATACAAAGAGATTTCTAGTAGTTATACCACCAATATTACATTTAACAAATATTTTAATGAAAATATAATTGGTCTAAAGATTTTATGTACATTTGATTGGAGAAATTTAATATATTTGTAGTAATTCTCTTTCTTTGTATGTGATGCATTCCGCAGTGATGGATCTCAACTGACAGGCACTTTTAGTGCTCTGTGGTATCTTCTAGAAAGTGCCGATGTTGAAGGAGTCATTGATGTCTTCCAGACTGTGAAAAATCTTCGTAGACAGCGTTCTGGAATTGTGTCTTCCTTTGTAAGTATATTTTCTAATATGGTTCAACACTTAGAACTGTGGCCAGCCTATGGACATTGAAATATGTAAACATTCTTAACAAGCAGTAAATGAGCTTTAAAAAAAGCCATCAATAAACCCTGTAGGTGCAGGCACCGTGGAGAAATCTATCCTCAAAACTTACAGCAAAAACACTCACTTTTATTTTAGCAGCTCAGTTCATTCTGCTCTCTCTTCCCACAAGTGACTTGACAGGCTCTTAGACTTTTGATCTCTAATGTAGGTGCACAGGATGAGCAAGGCTTCACTGCTTCTCTTTTGGACTTTTGGAATGACTTGTTCTATAGTGCCTGCAACTACAGAGATCAGTGAAGGCCTGCTTTTTAAAAGTATGTATACACTTGAAAGTGCCACAGTTCTACTTTCCCACACTCCTGATCTGTGTCAGGCACCTTCACAATTCTGGCTTATACATGCTTTATACCACTCACTAAATGTCACCACAAGTCACTAAATGTCTCCTCTGTTTTGCTTATTATATTGAGGGACAGAAGGTTCAGAGACTATTGGGTTATACTGCTTCCTACAGGAGAATTTTGACACTGTCAAAAGCAAACAGTGACCACCTCAATATAACCTCTCCTACTCCCAGCATACCTCTTTTACTAGTGTATTAGAAGAATGGATGCTTGTACTGTGAAACATGTAACCGTTTACTAACCATTTTTTCTGCATTTAAAATAATTTTTTTTCTAAATCAATAATCTACATGTTGCTTGAGCTGGTCTCTATGCACAGGACCCCATTGGACTGGACAACTGCAGGGATAGCCTGGAATGTGACCTTTGAATTGTATTGTGTTCTTTATGATTATAAGTCTCAGACATTCTTGATGGTTGATATTTCCATGAGGAGACGCAGGCTACTGCTCTTACTTTCAGGCTTAGAGAAACCATTTTGCCATTATTGATGAGGTGTACATCACTTTAAAACTAGAAATCAGCCTGCAGCCTCCACCAGCATTCCTACTTATCTATGATTTCTTAGAGGCCCTAAGACAACCAAGACTTATAGGTGTACCCATTAGTGCCAAATGTTCATTATGAAAACTGTGGGACTCCTGATAAGCATCATACCCTTTAGGGAGTCTTTTACTGAAAAGAAGGCCATTCCCACTGTGGATCTAGCACTATCCCTGTAGAGGATGTGCCTGTTTTTAAGGGTTCCAAACATTTTGAGATTCTTTCCAAAACCTTGTTTTCCCTGGCTGACTCTGCATTGCAGCTTGCCATGGCTTTGATGCTAGTGTATCAAACTTTAGGGGGGTGGATAGGTCCATTAGAAGAGATCCTATTTTCCTTCAAACCAATCCCCTGTTTGTGGAGCATTTAGATCTTATGCCAGCAGCCCTAAAATACTGTGGTTCTAAAGTAAAAACATCTTTTACTTTAATGCATTTCCTGAATTAAGGTATAAAATGTTTTACCACTTGGCATGTGCCTCCCTTGCTAAACACTTAGCTGACACCATAATTGATCCAGTGCTGTTCCTGCCTGTGAATGAAATCAGCCCCGCTCTCCTTGCCTTCATTCACAGGCTTCACTGATGGGAGCCATTGACTCCTGCTGCTGTCTGTCAAATCCTGCAAGGATGGGGCTGAGCCGTACTGCCTGTATCTATGGAGGCACGCTGCCTGGCTCAGGAGCACTTACGCACGTAAGTCTCCATAGCAAACAGCTTGCTATGTAGGCACATGCAGAAGAGGAGGAATGGACATTGGATTGGCAGAGGACACCATAATAGTAAGAATGGCTCTGTTCTGTGCAAAGTCATTGCACAGAGCAGGTAGGTATAACATATTTATTTAATATTTTCATGTAAAAAATTTGCCTTTAAGCTTTGGAGCAGGCATGCAAAAAGAGGTTGCTACACTCCCTTTGAGGGATAGCATTTCTTTTGGAGTTGCCTTGGACACCCTCATAAAGGATTTCACTGGGATTAAGAGTACTCATCTACTTAGCAGAAGAAGCCTAGATCTCAGTTAGGAAAGACCCCCCTTCCAAGGATAAGAAGACCTATTCTCTTTATTCCCAGGATTCAACTTCAAAACCTAAACCTGCTGCCAACTCTTCTTTGACATGAAAGGGTTCCCCACACTTTCCAAAGTGGGGAATGTCTGTTAGCCTTTGCAGACACCTGGATACACAGGATCTCATACAGTCTGGGTACAGGAAACAGTTTTTTAAGGGCTACAAGCTAGAGTTCCACTCCCAGTTCTCATCCCTGGTTCATGTCTTCCAACCTGTTTGTATCTTCACACAGATTGGCAGATGTCCATGCAGCCCTTGCAATTCATCTGGACCATAGGGTATGAAAGGGTTCCTTTGAAAAATGGTATTAGGGGTTCTACTCCAACCTTTCTATAGTCTGCAAAGCAAAAGGGGGCATCTGCCCTATTTTGGATCTCAAGAACCTAAATATCTTCATTCAGGTCAAAAAAAGGTCTGTTATAGTCTCCCTCCATCATGAAGACTGTTTGACCTCCATTTCTCCATGTCTTCATTTCTGCAATACATCAGTGCTTCCCTTGCTTTGAGGTGGGTCCCAGGCAGTTCCAGTTTGTGACTCTGCCATACAGCCTACAGTGCCTTGAAAAAGTGTTCATACCCCTTGAAATTTTCCACATTTTGTCATGTTACAACCAAAAAATGTATTTTTGGGGGATTTTATGTGATAGACCAACACAAAGTGGCACATAATTGTGAAGTGGAAGGAAAATGATAAATGTTTTATAAATGAATATCTGAAAAGTGTGCCATGCATTTGTATTCAGCCTCCTTTACTCTGATACCCCTAACTAAAATCTAGTGGAACCAATTGCATTCAGAAGTCACCTAATTAGTAAATATAGTCCACCTGTGTGTAATTTATTCTCAGTATAAATACAGCTGTTCTGTGAAGCCCTCAGAGGTTTGTTAGAGAACATTAGTGAACAAACTGCATCATGAAGGCCAAGGAACACACCAGACATGTCAAGGATAAAGTTGTGCAGAAATTTAAAGCAGGGTTAAGTTATGAAAAAAAACCCCACGCGTTTAACATCTCACAAAGCATTGTTCAATCCATCATCTGAAAATGGAAAGAATATGGCACAACTGCAAACCTACCAAGACATGGCCATCCACCTAAACTGACAGGCCAGGCAAGGAGAGCATTAATCAGAGAAACAGCTAAGAAGCCCATGGTAACTCTGGAGGAGCTGCAGAGATCCACAGCTCAGGTAAGAGAATCTGTCCACAAGACAACTATTAGTCATGCACTTCACAAATCTGTCCTTTATGGAAGAGAGGCAAGAAGAAAGCCATTGTTTAAAGAAAGCTATAGGAAGTCCCGTTTGCAGTTTGTGAGAAGCCATGTGGGGGATACAGCAAACATGTGGAAGAAGGTGCTCTGGTCAGATAAGGCCAAAATTGAACTTTTTGGCCTAATAGCAAAACGCTTTGTGTGGCAGAAAACTAACACTGCACATCACCTTGAACACACCATCCCCACAGTGAAACATGGTGGTGGCAGCATGATGTTGTAGGGATGCTTTTATTCAGCAGGAACAGGGAAGCTGGTAAGAGTTGATGGGAAGATGGATGGAGCCAAATACAGGACAATTTTAGAAGAAAACCTGTTAGAGTCTGCAAAAGACTTGAGACTGGGGCAGAGGTTCACTTTCCAGCTGGACTACGGCCTTAAACATACAGCCAGAGTTACAATGGAATGGTTTAGATCAAAGTATATTCATGTGTTAGAATGGCCCAGTCAAAGTCCAGATCTACAGTAAATCCAATTGAGAATTTGTGGCAAGACTTGAAAACTGCTGTTCACAGACACTCTCCTGTCTCCTATGTGACAGAGCTTGAGCTATTTTGCAAAGAACAATGGGCAAAAAGTTCACCCTCTAGATGTGCAAAGATGGTAGAGACATACCCAAAAAGACTTGCAGCTGTAATTGCAGAAAAAGGTGGTTCTACAAAGTATTGGGCTGAATACAAATGCATGCCACACTCTTCAGATATTTATTTGTAAAAAACTTTGAAAACCGTTTATCATTTTCCTTCCATTTCACAATTATGTGCCACTTTGTGTTGGTCTATCACATAAAATCCCAATAAAATACATTTACGTTTTTGGTTGTAACCAGACAAAAAGTGGACAATTTCTAGGATTTCAAGGGGCATGAATACTTTTTCAAAGCACTGTATGTGTTCTGCACCCTGAGTGTTCACCTAGGTTTTGGCCCCTGTGCTAGCCTTGTTACACACCCACGGCATTCTCATTGTGAGATATCTGGACAACCTCCAGAATGGCCAGTCAGTACTGCTGGCTGACTGGCTGACAGTGTAACATGAACAATTCAGACAATGAAAAGTTTTGGTTAAATACCGAACCTCAGAATTCTTTGTTGAAGCTGATTCATTGCTTGGAGTATCTGGGTTTTATGCTAAATACAGCTGAAGCTAGGGATTTTCTTCACAAAGAGAAGCTTTAATCTCTCTGCTCCCAGACTCAGGCTCTTCAGTTCAGCAGTTGCCTGACATTCTGTCTTTTTGGGATAAATCGTTTTAGCCTGAGGAACAGGTTGTCTCTGACTTGTTGGCTCAGGAATTCAGTTCTGGAGTTGGGGAAATTCTTTCTTCTGACTTTTTGGGAGATCTTCACAATGAATGCCAATTTAACAGGCTGGGGAGGTGTCCAGGATACCTTGTTACTTCAGGAGTCATGGATACTGGGGGTATCTTGTCTCCTGATCACTTGTCTGGATTTTGGAGTATGTGGTTGTCCCTACAATGCTGGACATCCCCACTGGAGGGTCATCTAATCAGGATCCAGTCAGACAATGCTACAGCAGTGGGATACATCAACCATCATGGAGCAAAAAGAAGCCTTGTCGCGACAGGGGAATTAGCAAGAATTCTATCTTTGGCTGAAATGCATGTTCCAGTCTTGTCCACTATTTAGATATCAGATGTGGACAATTGGTAGGCAGACTTTCGCAGCTACAGGTGAGAAACACCAGATCCAACAACAAGTAAATACCTGTAGAACGTGCTTTGGTTTCACTGTGAGATTAGAACATTCTGATCTACACGTTTCCTTCCCTGAAGCTCCTTCCTCCCCCTCTCTGTAGGATAAAGATAGAGGGTGTTCTGATGATACTCTTAGCTCCAGATTGGCCCATGGGGATGCAATACTCCTTCCTGATAAGATTCTTGGCAGATGCTCAGTGGGCTCCTCCAGACCAGATGGTGACCTTTTTGCAGTCAGGTCTGGTTCAGCATATGACCTTCAGTACTATTAAGGGTCAGATCTTGGGGTTTGTGGTCCTGTTCCAGAGATCACAAGTTTCCCATTCTTTGATTAAGACTTTTTTTTACAGGCTGTCTCTCATGTGGTTCACCCATGTGCTTACTCAGAAACCTGTTAGGAACCTCTTTCCTTCCTTCCTTTCATCTCAACCAGGGGTTTGTTTCGTTTTCACTCCCTCCACTTTATGTACAGGTGTCCAGAATGAGATATCCTTTCATTGTCTGAATGTAGTCCTTGCTGTGCTTGTATCTTTCAGCAACTATTCCAATAGAAAGGCTGAATCTCTTGTCCCATCCCTGATGTTCCCTTCAAAAGGGTACAAGCTTGTTGTTCCACAATCTTATGGTCTTAGGGGTTGAGTTTTGCCCCAATCCTGTCAAAGCACAATCTTTTTGACATCATGCAACTGTTTCCTAGGTTTGCAAGGCTGCTACCTGGTTTGTTATTCACACATTCTCCAAGTTTTACCAGGTAGATATTCAAGCCATATTTGATGCTGCTTTGGACGTAACGTCTTCTAGGCAGTTCTTTGTGATGCAGGTCACAAGTTCTGATGTTTTTTTGTGGTTGCTTTGTGATTTGTCCTTAGTTGGACTGCTTTTGGATGTCCCAATAGTCAGAATTATGTGGACATCCCAATAGTCTGAATACTGTGTTCCTCAATTAATGAAAAAGAAAACTGGATTTTTGTACTTACAAAAAAAACCTTTTCTTTTAGTTCTTTGAGGGACACAGGCCTCTCCTCTTTGTTCAAATGTTCTTGCCTTTGGTATTTCTTTTCTATAAAGCTGAGGCATGCTGGGAGTAGGATGAGTTATACCAGGCTGGTCACTGTTTTTTTTTGTTGCCAGTGTCCAAATTTCCCTGTAGGTGGCAGTTAATCCAATAATCTTTCAATTCTGTGTCCCTCAATGAACTCAAAGAAAAGCTATTGCAGTAAGTATGTTAATATTATATACTGTATACAGTAGTATAACATAGAATGCAAGTCGGGAAAGAAATGATTAATTTCCATAAAATAATATCAATCATTAGGCACACTGGACATTTCTCTATTTCTCCTAGATGCCTTTCTTCCTTGCAGCGGCATTTTGGCAGAAAACCGCTTGCACTTGTACACACATTTAGATGTGTTTAGCTGGGTCAAGCATTTGGGTGTTAACTAATTTCATTGGCCAGAATAATAACTTGTGCATCTAGCCTTAACGTATGTTTACACATATTTACACGTGTCAAGAATTTTTTGTGCCAAAACGCCACTGCTGCTGGACTCCCTGGCAGTTTTTTTTATGCCTCTATACTCCTCTAAAAGCCTATGTGTGCATGAACATGGGCATTTTAGACTGAGCACCCAATTTTTTTTTCAAACCAAATTACAAATAATTCCAACTACTGGTTTCTAAGAGAGAGGGGGGGGGGTGAGAGAGAGGGGGGGCAGAAAGAGGGTTGATGAGAGAGGGGGAGATGAGGGAGAGAGAGGGGGTGGTGGGGGGATAAGAGGGGGGGTGAGGGAGAGAGAGGGAGCATGAGAGGTAGGAGGATGAAAGAGAGAAGGGGGATGAGAAAGGGAGGGGGATGAGAGAGAGGAGATGATGAGTGATGGGGGGGAGAAAGAGGGGGGGGATGGGAGAAAGAGAGGGGGAGATGAAGGGGGATGAGAGATAGAGGGGGTGGGAGGAGAGAGAGGTGGAGATGAGGGAGAGAGAGGTGGGTGAGGGGATGAAAAAGAATGGGGTGGGGAGTAAAGAGAGGGGGGGTGAGGGAGAGAGAGGGAGAGAAAAAGAGTTGGGAAGAGAGGAAGAGGGGCAATGAAAGAGAGAGAGGGAGGATGAGGGTGGAGGAGAGAGGGGATGAGAGAGAAGGGGAGTGAGTGAGAGAGAGGGGGAGGATGAGGGGGGGTGAGAAAGAGGGGAGGATGAGAGAGAGAGGTGGATGACCGAGAGAGGGAGAGAAAGAGAGAGGCGGAATGAGAGAGGGGGAGATGAGAGAGAGAGAGAAATATGAGAGAGTGAGGGGGATGACAGAGAGAGGAAGAGAAAGAGAGAGGGGAAATGAGAGAGAGAGAGAAAGGGGGAGATGAGGGTGGGGGGTGGGGAGAGAGAGAGAAAGGGGGTGATCATTTAGAAATAATCTATTTAGCATTCCAAATGAGAAAAATAATTAAAATCCTTTAATTTACTTTAAACAATTCTGAATTTAGATTTAAACTTGTTTTGGAATAAATACTATAATTGAGCATTACTAGAGGCATGATCACATATTGCAGACTTTTACTAAAACACTGTGTTATCTGTCTCTTTTTTAGGAACAATATCAGTTCCTTTATGACGTGTTGGCCAGCACAGTGCCTGCTCAGAATGGTCAGATTAGGTTATCCAACAGCCAAGAAGTTAAACTGGAAATGCCGAATGAAATAGAAAGCAAGTTTCCAGAAGTCGAAGTAGCCCCATCATCCACAGCCGTTCCAGGAGAGGACAGCTTATCTAAACCTAAGGACGATGATACAACCGCTAATGGACCCAGCCCAGCAGCATTTACAGATGTGACTCTGAGAATAGATGAATAACATGCAAAAAATTGGGTACAGAGGTGACAGTTAGGTTTCCCTGGACAACTAAACAGCTATGTAATGATCAATAAGCAAATTTGCTTTGAACAAATGATTCGCACATAATCTTCAGTGGATACCCATAGTTTATAGTTTGTGTCACCAGACCACTGTAATCTGTGTAAAGACATGTTTTCAAAGGTGGATGCTGTGTGCTTGATGGACCATTATGAGCAGGTGACATATCTAATAAGCACAGGAGATCTTTGCATACAGTTTGGGGTATTTTTATGCAACTTTAGAGTTTATATTTCTGTTTTTTACATTTTTTCACCATCTCTTTTTATGCAGATTGCCATTGGATTACATATTGTCGTTGTACCACCCATAATTGGCTGGATTACCATGTACAGCATTGAATCATTGGTTTATATCATTGTTTAAAGCTGACTAAGCTATATTCACTCTCAGCAGCAGATTCTTAAACTCATCCGTTTATATTTGTGCTTTTGATTTATTGTGTGCGCTTTCTTTTTATAAAAAAAAAAAAAAAGATACATTGACCTGAATCCAACAAACTATGGAAGTTTAAAACATTTTTATGATGGGTCTACTGAAAGATGTAATGCTCTGCACACATTTTCCTACAGCAGCATGAGGTATCCCATTCTGTATGGTTTCAGCTATCGAAAGTTGGTGGATAAGGCATAGTAATTAAATATCTTTTCCGTTATTGGCTTAAACTGTCTAAAGAAAGTCAGAATATTTCTTGTATAAAGGGACTCAGGCTTTTTTTAATAGTGTACAATTTAGTGTGAGAGTCATCTGAGCAGATATACCTACCAGAACAATCAATTTGACAACCTATGAATAAAGGTAGAAGTGTATAATTCCCAAGCAGTGCAGGTTCTGCATTAGGAAGGTGCATTGCTAGTAAGGGATATATAGGCAGTAATTGTGTTATCTGCTATGTGTAAAAAGCTGACCTTACTATTCCTGCAAATATGCGGAATTACCTAAAATTCAAGTATCTGCACACCACCTTCCTTGGTAGTAAGCATACCAGAATTATTAGTAGCACAGAACCAGGCTTTCACATGTGTTTAGGAAGCCCACAACTGGTTCCAGAGATTGTTGCATGCATTTTGTCACAGGCCTTATTATAAATGTCCAGTTACATTTTTTATCTGCTTTGATGTTACTACAGTTTTCATAAAAAATGCATTTTTTTTTCTGTGAAGGATTTGCTTTTATACTGTATGTAATATGTAATACTTCAAAAAAAAGTTGAATTAAATCTGTGATTTTCTACAAGCCAGTAAACTGTTATATAAATAAAATATGACACCTAGATGTCCCTGCATGTACAGCTTCAGGATCCCGGGAAACTCCAGACAAATGAAAATGCAATTATCAACTTATCTTAGTTAATTTGAGCATTGGTTCCACCTGCTTTGTCTCACAATAGACTCATTGCTGTGATGATCACTGATGGGGGGCCAGCTCGAGAAGCTGTTTGAAAGTAGTCACCTGTAGGTACCTGTAGAGTTAATTTACTAAAGACAAGTAGGCTGTTCACTTTGCAAGGGAATTGTTCTTTTTCTTAGTGAGTGAGGTTAAGTGCTGGTGACTTCCATTATCTAGTCAAGTGCAAGCAAAATACTGGTTTCTTTTCTTGCACATGATTAGGTATTCTTGGCAAAGTGAATTTTCTCCACTTTCACTAAACTAAGGGGAATTCCAATGCAGCCTATTTGCCATTAGTAAATCAATCCCTATGCCTGAAGCCTTGCAGAAACAAATATCTGTTTTTTTAATATTCTGTGAAAATGGCAGATTATTGATTATTTAAAGTGGATTTGTAAAGATTTACGATTTTGGAGTTATTTTAATAAATTTAAATTTTTTTTGTTCATGTATTTTCTTGGTAATTATTTACATTTTGTGTGAAACAAAATCTAACATTCAGATTAGTGAGCTCCTTTTTTATTACTCTAATGCAGTGGTTCTCAACCTTCCTAATGCCATGACCCTTTAATACAGTTCCTCATGTTGTAGTGACCCCCAACCATAAAATTATTTTCGTTGCTACTTCATAACTGTAATTTTGCTACTATTACTTCCAATACTGCTGCTTTCAATACAGTAGCTGCTTTCTACACAGTAGCTGCTTTCTACACAGTAGCTGCTTTCTACACAGTAGCTGCTCTTTACACGTGTGACTGGTCCACATAAGTACATTATGGAGCCAACCCTGTCACATACACCTGAATTTGTATGGGGTGTATGTGATGGGGTTGGCACGATGATGTCATAACGCCATGAACTCGTATGTGGGCATATCTGAATGGGGGCGGACCCGCCTGGAGACGGATAGAGGAGTAGTGTCTTGGTTCCTAAGACCATCGGAAATATGTGCTTTCCGAAGGTCTTAGGTGACCCCTGTGAAAGGGTCGTTCGACCCCCAAAGGGGTCGCGACCCACAGGTTGAGAACCGCTGCTCTAATGCATCATGCACATTACTGGGTTTCATATAATATTAGGGATACATTAAGGAATGCAATTTAATAGTAATAAGACAAGTAAGCATCAGGCTGAGAAATAATGCTTTCACGCAAGCTATCACAGCCGGGTGCCCACACTGAAGATGCCGGCGCCTGGAATACAGGACGGCTGGTGAAACGGACTGCGGCGGGGGCAACATGGGATCGTGGGACAGGTGAGTGGCTGTTTTTTAAAAGTCAGCAGCTACAGTTTTTGTAGCTGATGACTTTTATTTTTTACAGAGTGAGTGGAACTCCACTTTAACTTAACATATACACCCGCATCGGTTCGCATGAATGGGGTGTGATTCTGATGCGGTGCGGAATTCACACAGAAAATGCTGCAAATTCCTCATCTCATCAGTGTAAACCCAAGCTTAAATTCAGTTGTACTTTAGGTTGCTGTGATGTTTGTATGGGTGAAATACTATATGTACAGTAAGGTAAAAAAATACAACAATTAACCATTAACAGAATCATCTAATTTTTAGTCCTCGTGCACACTGGACGTTTTTACAGCTGCTGTTTTTGGCTTTTGGCATTTTTTTCTACAGTCAGTAAACTCCCAAGCATGTTATCCTATGTGTCCATGCCCACATAGGCTTTAATCAGCGTTTTTTTTTTTTTTGGCAGGGGCGTTTTTTGGTTGGAAAAAAACACCAGAACTAGTGGGTTTCTAGAGAAGTTTTTATGCTCTAACGCTAGTTAACTTGGTAAAATGCTGCAAACCTGGCTTTTTTTAGCCAAAAATGTTTTTTGTGTAAAAAAACGCTAAAAAAATTAAAACACGGAAAAGGCAGCTAAACACAGCTAAACACTAATGCAAAAATGCAGAAAACCTTGCGTTTTTAAACATGACTTTCACAGCTAATGCTACCAGCATTTTTAAAACGCCCAGTGTGCATGAACCTTTTGTTGTAATGAAAAGAAAAAGCTTTTCTGGACAACAAACGTAATAGAAGGCATCTTGTGTTGTCTTCCATGAAGTAGGACATTTCATTCTAAGAGTTTGAAATTGTATAATGGTCAATTTAAGCATTATGTATAAGTCATGCAATGGTGAGAGGTCAGTCGGCTATGTAGGTTGAAGTGACAGATGGTGCAATTATATATTACGTAATCGTATATACATCTGTTTAAAACCTCGGTAATAATACCCAAGTGATCAAAGAGGAAGGTAAGTATAAAGGAGGATAATGAAACATTATTACTGGTTAACTGCCTTATAACCTCAACAACCTTTACATAACTAAAAGACTTTATTTACTTGGCAAAACTAATGCAATGCTCATTTTAAACGCTGAATTTTCACTTAGCTTAGTAAAGCTGGCAATACACTAGTAGATTTAAAAAAAAAAACGTTCTTATGAAAACTCAAATGAACATTTGTATGAAAATTTTCATCAGTAAATTCAATGGCATGATGAACGTCGTTCAAAAGTACTTAAAAAAAAGCGTACTTTTAACATTTGATTTAGGAGTACATAGACTTTCCCGGAATGAAAAGCACATTTACTGTAGAAATGTGTTTGTTCGAGAAAAAATTTGTGATCCTGCTGCTTTGAATTCTCTCTTCACTGTTTTGAAAATGAACATTGCTTTAACCCCACTAACAATTAGAAAGTCAAACGAACTTTGTTAAAACAAAACTTTTCAAACAAAATTCTACTTGTATACAGTATGTCCTGCTTAAGGAATATGTAAAAGGAATATTTCATATTCCTGATGCTGTACCGTGTAATTGTACAAAAAATTAACCTGTTCTCTTTGTATTGCTTCCTTTGTGTTAAATATCTGGTGTTCTGGCAGTCACTCTGCTTTCCTATTAAAAACTGACTACAATGACATGAGAGTTCAGCGTGGTCAGTTTTCTAGCTGAGCTGGGAGCTAATCCAATGATTGAGGATCCCCTCCTGCACAGCCGTTCACTGGGAAGATCAATGTGCTGCTGTTTCTCCTCCCTGAGCTCCTTGCAGCTGAGAACAGAGTGTATATGATCACTTATTAAAAAAAAGGGAAAAATGTACAGTATTTATAATGTTTTTACATGTATGTCTTTCATTTCTATTTTAAACTGAATGGTTTTACAAGGTAAGGGTTTACATCTACTTTAAACAGTGAAGATGCACTCACTTTTATTAGGGATTCATAAACAAGGAATATAATGAAGTCTTGCTTGCCCATGATTGGATTTTTCAGTGATTCAGGAGTTTTGTTTCCCTTTAATTGGATAATTCAAGTGAGCTTAAATGTATATGCTAAGCAAAGTAAACATTCTATTTGCAAAAGTGAAAATTCTCCACTCAATACAGTATGTGTTTGTATTGAGGCACATATGTGATAAAAAAGAGTATTTTAAAGCTAAACTCTAGGCAGATATAAATCATACAAATTAATACACCTAGGTATTAATTTATATATAGAGCAATTGGAAGAGACAGCAACTCCAATGTCTGTATTAGGCTGGGTTCATAT